TTCATGGACTTCGAATGCAAAGATGTCCTTGTATTCTTTCAATAGTTTGTGAAAGTTGTCACCCAGGACTCTCAGAGCAGTCGTCCCAACTTTGACTGTTCGCTCAGGACGTGAGTCGTCTAAGATCAAGTCCGTATGCTCACCAGCCGGCTGAGGGCGGAATTCATCCGACCGCTCCTCTGCCAATGATTGCTATTTTCTGTCTTTTCTTGCGGCCCCCGTCTGGGATGCCTTTCTCTTCTTGCCGCCTGCTTCTTGAACAGGCGCACTCTCCTTGACATTGTCAAGGTCTATTTTTCCACCACTCGACCCAGTGGCCATAACAGTGGGCTTGACATCCGAGAGATAGCACTCTCGGGCCATCCTCTGATCTCCCCTTAGGGACCCTACTGTTCCATTATCCCTCTCAAACTTGAGCAACATAAGAGATGGGATTATAACAGCCTTGGAATTATTCAGGGTTGGTCGTCCCAGAATCATGTTGTAGGCCGAGAGTTCTTCTACTACCAGGAACCGGACTACCATGTGTCGTCCTTCCCCTTTTTCGCCTAGGCGGATGGGTAAATCCACTCGTCCCACTGGGTGGACTCCTCCTCCTCCAAACCCTACTAAAGGGTGGGATGCCGGATGTATGCAATCAGTCTGATATTTTAGTTTTGACAGACATTTGCTACTGATGAGATCTGAGGAGCTTCCGGTATCTATGAGGATTCGGCCAACTCTCTGGTTGGCCACTTTACATTCAATAACGATAGGGTCGTCATGCGGCCCTCTTACCCCTCCTAGATCTTCTTCAGTGATGACAATCTCAGGAAATGAATATTTGGAGGGCCGTTCTTGGTGAACGGAATTTACATCTAACTGTCTGATATTGTCTTTGTTGCCCCTAATAGTGGGGCCGCCTCTTGAGAAGCCGCCTGCAATGGTGTAGACGACTGCATCATCTGTATCGGAGCTGTCGGCCTGTTGATTCTTTTTGATCGACTGCTTTTTTGAGGAAGTGTTCCCCGTAGATTTCTTGACATAAGTGTCAAGATCACCTTGCTCAGCCAGGCGGTCCAGATACCGCATGAGACTGATGCATTCATTGGTGTGATGACCAACATCTTCATGATAATCACAGAATTTTTCTTGGTTCCGATTGTTTGCAGAACCCTTCATGGGGACCGGCTTCTCAATTGAGATCCGTCCCTTGATTTCCTTTAGGATAAATTGGCTATCCTTGTTAAACACATACTTTGGGGAGTATGGTTTGAATTCTTTTTTCTTCTTCTGGGACGGCTGTTTAGAGGAATCAGTTGCCCAGACCTCTTTTCTCTTCTCGTCTTTGTTTGACGACTGCTTCTGTCGTCCTTCTCTTTTGTCGGACGTTTTCCCGTCTGACTGTTTTACCGTACTACAAAGATCAGCCGCCTGTATATAGGCTTCCGCTTCAATCAAGGCCTCTTGAAGAGTCGCCACCCTCTTTCGGACCAAATCAAATTTGAAGGTCGACCCGTCTTTGAGACCTCTGAAAAAGTCAGTATAGGCTACTTCATCCGGTAACCCTTGAATCTGTATTCTCATCAGGTTAAACCGCCTGATGTAAGAACGAAGCCCCTCCTTCTCGCCCTGCTGAATTGTTCCTAAATCAAGGGTCGTCTTCTTCGCAGGGATGTTCATGGCGAAGTTGGAGGTGAATAAGTAAGCAAGCGTCTTGAAGTTATTTACACAACCAGTCGGCAGGTTGCCGAACCATTGTTGTGCGATTCCTTTGAGAGTCGCTGGGAAACACTTGCACCAAGTGGGATCATCCAACCCTTGAAGGTACATCAGGTTGGTGAATGCCATCAGATGGTCTTCTGGGTTAGTAGTGCCGTCATAGGCGCCTACTAATACATTTTTCACTTTGGCCGGCTGAGCGGCTTCAGTAATTTCCTTGGAGAAGGTCGACGGCTGTTCACCAAGTCTAAGCAACCGTAGCTGCCAGTCCATAGGTTGGACATTTTTTGCTGCATGTCCACCAAACGGAGGTGGCTGTAAAAAATACTGTTGTTGCGGTACAAACGGTAAGTTTGGTACCGCCTGGTCGCTATGAAAGCCGGACTGACGGGAGGTGTCGCCTGACTGACTCTCATGATACGACTGAGTATGCCTCATCGAGGTATTTCGCAGACTGTCTTGGAAGTTTGAAGTAGAGGCCGACTCTGACAATCGGTTTAGGATGAGGGGTCGCCTCTTGCCCTTGAACTGGTTTCCTCTTCCGTGAAGTGGAGGGTTTCTTAGCCGACTGCTCCTTGTCCAGAGCAGGCGGCTTCTTGTTAATCAACTCTTGAATTTCTCCCTTGCAGTCCCTCATGAAGGTCATGAGTTCGTTCCTTGTGATGGGAGCAGACCCATCAGTCGGCTGCTGCCGAACAGGCGGTGCGCCTGCTGGCTCGCTTCCAGTTTGAAGATGTTCCCGTTCCCTCCTTTCGGTATGACGGGCACGTCGGGCCCTTAGGGTCCCGTCTGAAGCTGTGTGAGCTTCAACTTCAAATTCATTCTCAGTATCGTGGTCCGACTGAACTAGAGGGTCGTCCAGGGGACGTCTCTCTTCAGGAGCCGGTACAAACGTGGATGTCATCTCATAAGTACTCTCCCCACAGACGGCGCCAAGATGTTTTGGGGTTTTCTAATGTCCTGCGGGAGAGTTACAATTCCGAGACTGGAACCAGACGCCTGTACCTGCAAAACAAACGGATGCTCCGGATGATTGGAGATCCGCCTCCGACGGTCAAGTTAGTACTTGATTAAGGAGTAATTAATGCGGAAATTAAAGTGATTGGGTCTCTCTAGGTGAGAGTGTTTAATGTGAGTAATCTGCGTTTTTTAGTGTTATCTCCCTTAATGAGGATTAAGGGAGGTATTTATAACCTCAGGAAACGTGTCAATCTAGGTTTAGGTTAACCTTGGGCTGATTGGGCTTCCCTCGGAAGTTGGGCCTAGGTGACCGGTTATCCCAGGTGTCATGGGAAGGACACGTGTCGTGTCGTAATTGGTCCATAGTGGACGGATCATTGCTTGACACGTGGCAGGCTCCTATTGGCCCATGTGACGAACACATGGCGGAACCTGATTGGTCCACTTGTCAGATGGTGATTGGTGGGGAAAAATCCCCTAATCAAGTATACCTATTATACTTGCAGCATCTTCATCTCTTTCTTCATTGATATTGTCTCCTAAAATTACATTATCTGCTGCATTCATCATTAGTGTTAGTATATTTGGATTTCATTCTAAAATTATCAAAAAACTGGATTAAAATTAAAATTTATATTCTGCGACATGTAATATATACAATTCGTGAAATACAAATTAATCCTGATTTCAAATTCGATTGGAATATAAATTAAGCCTGATTTTCAAATAAGTCGAAATTAACTACGATCTGAAATTCGATTGGTGTTGATTGCTTATAAAAAGTCGAAATTAACTCGAATTTAAATACGATATGATATTAAATCGAAATTTACTACGATCTAAAATTCAATTTGGCTTGCATGCGAATTATAAGTAGAAATTCATATTTCAAATTCACTATGATACAATCTGAAATCATGAACTATATAATTTTGAAATTCTTAAATATGATTCGAAATTGCATACAATCAAAATTATGAACTAAATTGTACCTTTTTCAGCAGTAATTGAGCTAGAAATTGATTCTATAGGTGAATCAGAATCTCCTTCAATCATCATTTTATTATTTGATTTCTCCATTTTTTTATGAAATTTGAAAATTTGAATTCTCTGAAATTTGAGGAAATGAAGTGGTTGAAATTCGACGAAATGAAATTTCAGTAAATAACGGCGCACGAAATTTTATGAAAATGATGAAAACGAAATCGAAAATTCAGACACTTTATAAAATGGCGCGCGGGCTTTGGTCGGGTTGATCAGGCCCGCGCCTTTTTAAAAAAGGAACCCGGACTCACGTGAGTCCAGTCTCACGCAAAACGTTTTGATTTTAATGTACATTGTATTATTTGAATCTACAACCTTTTCTAAAATTGTCTATTTGCTTGCTTTAATTTCTTCTTCAAAATTGGTTTAATTGGACGATCTTCTTCAAGAACTTCATTTTATTTCTCATTGCAACAACAAATAACATCAAAATCGCAATTAATTCCCAATAAAATCAAATATTACAATTTTCAATCAAAATTATAAAAAACAAACACTCAAACACAAAATAAACAAGTATGAATGTCAAATAAACAAGTATGAATGTCGAATTTGGTCTTACCTTTCGTTTTTATCTGTCATCTTGAACAATTTTGGACTCAAAATTTCGAATTTCTTGAAATTTTGCTTGAGGTTTGAGGAATTTAAATGGGTTTGAAGTTTTGTTTGGAAAGAGAGTGAACATTTGGTATAAAAAAAAATTTGAAATGATTGTAATTAATGTATGGTAAAAAAAAATAATTATAGTACTATTTATCTATTTCATTATATAAAAAAAATAATTATATTATTATACAAAAATAATATACCAAATTGTTGCACAAAAATCTAATATACATTATAAATGAACACTATATTCTTTTATGTATATGTCCATGTACATTATAAATGAACACTATGTTCTTTTATATTCCCATGTACTTTAATATATACCTGCTTGTTCATTCCGCCTTTTTGTACTTTAGAGCGGATACACCATGCGGATCGTGCATCCGCCTCCACGAATCAAGCTTTAATAAATACTTTCTAAAATAGAATGAATTTAAAGATTCATAACATGCATGAATCGCTGCATCAGTACAATTAATGTTTATTACGGAGTAATTCTTAATATTTACTTTTTTTAAAAGCTTTATGTGCATCACTTTCCCTTATTAAGTATGTGGGGCTTTTTCTGAGATTATCTCATATCATTGAAATGTTTTTATATGATCGTGCTTTGTTGGATGCTGCTGGGAAAAAGCTGATAACCTGGATCAAACTTTCCTATAGAAGAATGTATGACGAACATAAGAAGATATAAAATATACGATGATATACATATAGTATTAAAACATCATTGAATTCTCTATTCATCGTCATAAATTAATAAATTTACAGAGCCAAACTTCTAGCTACACGACCTGACATTGTCTATGATGAATTTTAATGAAAATTTCGATACAAGTTAGAAAATAAACGGATATGAAACAAACCTTACTTCAGACTGATGAAAATGACCTTTACATTGATTCGCTGTGTGAAACTGTGAACAAGTTCCTATGTTTCTATTTTCAACAAAGAATTTAGGGATGTGCTGTTGAATTTTTGAGCTAAACCTCTGAGAACAAGCACAATTACATCCCTCAAGTAGCGTGTATGCACTATAATATCTGCTTCATTATTGCTGTCAACCACAACCCTCAACCGGTGTTGATCATTGCGAAAAACCTCCACCTGATCAAACAAGTAACCTGTTATGATTAAAACTTTTCCAACCAAAACAAACTGAGAAAATCTGTAATACACCAATTGACAGATCCTGTTTTTAAGAAAAATGTATTAGTCCATCACGCTTCAGATAAAGGTCAGATTATGATTATGCATTGGATGATTTTTGTCCTAAATCATCTTAATCTACATCAACCCACGAATAAGATTCGCAAGAACTAATACTCCCTCCGTGTTTTAAGTGACACAATTTCCTTAAACGACTGTTTTTTTTTAAGTGATACACTTCCTCTTTTAGAAATTCCTTACATTTTAATAATATATCTTCACCCCACTATCTCTTACTTTATCATTTCTCACTCCTTTTATAGTCCCCACTTCCTCTCACATTCTTTTACTTTATCATTTCTCACTCCTCTAACCTACCCCACTAACATCTTATTTTATTAAAGTCAGTAAAATCACCTAAAACTACGTGTCGATCAAACTGTGTCACTAAAAATAACACGGAGGAGTAACTTATTCTTTAAAATAATATAAAACTTTAAATCTCAATTTTAAATTTAAATCACAATCTAATATTAAGTCTTGGTTCCAGTTGCAGTGTATTTGTCCTCACCATTACTTAGATGGCTTTGTAGTAGTCAATTAGTCAGAGTTAAGCCCAATACTAGGTACTAAACTATCAAAGAAGATGCAAATAAGGTACTCAACTTTCACTTGTTGCAAAATGGGTACTCAACTTTGGTAGAGTACTTGCCAGAGGGAATATTCCGATGAGTTTACCTCTATTAACAGATTACAACCGGTTTTACTTATAAAAAAAAATTGATTTTCGAATATCAGAGCAATTGCCTTGGTTAAAGAGAATTGATGTTTTTCTTCTCCCAACACTGCTCCATCAATAATCCAAAGAAAAAAAATGAATTAAAGACAATTAATCACACAAATAATACTTGAATATGCTTCAATTAATTAATCATGAACAAATTAAAAAAAAAAATAAAAGAGGAGAGAAAAAACAAACCACGCCTCTTACGAGATTGCCATAAAACACTAGTTAAAGAAACGGGTGAAAACCCATCAAAAAAATCTCTACTACTACCATTGTTTCAATTCTCTCTAAATTTGCAGCCTCTCCCATTATTTGTTGCAAATTTGAGCTAAAAAAAAAAAACTAATTTCAGCTTTCTCTTTTTTTTTTTTTTTTTTTTTTAATGAATTAAAGTTCCTTTTTTTATTGTTGATTGAATTTGAAGTGGTGAAATTGTAAATTTGCAAGCATCTTCTCTTATCTCAACTGAAATATTCCGTAATTTTTACTCAAAATAAATTAAACAAGAAAATTTGTTAAAAGGGAAATAATGAAAATGTCATAAATAATGTTATTTTGGAAATAATTCAAACAAGAAGATAATGGAGCATACTCAATACTCATCATCTTTATACTAGTATATTGTTAAGCTTATACGACTATATTTTTAAAATCTGATTTGCAATGCTTACTCTGACAATTATTGAACTTAGTATCAGACATAAGGCAAAAAAAAAAAAAAAAAAAATTGCTATTAAATGCTGTCTATTACCGACTACAACAAGTAAAAAAAAGGTAAGAGTACAAGTTTAGTACTTTAACTGCAATAAATGAAAGTTAAGTACCCAATCTCCAACTTTTGGCAAAGTTGAGTACCCTCTCTTATACTTCACTCCAATTAGTCATGTAACTAGGTTAAAATCCCGTGCAATAATGCACGGTTGTTAAATATTTTTTACAATAATATTACAAAATATAAGGTATATAAATATATTCAGAAATATTTTATTTAGGTATATATAGAATAGGATTAAAAAATAATAATAAAAAAAAATTAAAAATTAAAAATTAAAAAAAAAAGACAGAGAAAAGTGAAAAAGACGGGAAAATTTTTCACAAGATAATGACAAGTGTTATAGATGGATTGCTTTTAGTATAGGTTAATAGACAGGAGAAAGAAAATGTACATTAAAAGAAGTATGTGCTAAGGTACAACTTTGCAATTTCGGAGAACAGTAGACCTCTCTCCTGGGCTACAAATATTACAAAACAAGGCCAATACCACCAGATTACGGACTTTACAAACATTACCATCAGTTAGCAAAATTAATAACAGAGTACTCATTAAGAAACACCATATAAACTATGGCATCAATGCACCATCATATGTTTATCAAGTATCTTCAGGCTCCACGTTCAAAATTTAAAGAATTAAGTACTAATCTCGCAATAACAAAAAACTGATTTGACCGAGATAAAGTTGGCGTTTCATCTTCTAGCAAGGGCAACATTAACTAAACACTTTCTTTTTAAAAGAGAAAGACAACTCACAGCAGCTAGATAAGGTATTATGTACTGTTTTGCTCTGGTTTAAAATCTTTTAATCGTGTTAATAGTATGGCGTATAATTACGTAGTTAGTATCCTGATACATCTTAACACATGGATTTGAGATAGTGGAACAAAGCAAAGACAATACTCATGTGCCACTATTCCAACTGACATAAACAATGAAAAAGAACATTATCAAAATACTGTAGTATAGTTAAAATGATATGATGGACAAAAAGTGACATTCTGCCAACCTGAGTATTACTTACATGGAATGGAGGAGCATAACTGCCACGCATTTCAGTAGTTGGGAAAGAGGTTTTAGAACCAGGCTTCACCACTTTGGCTCTCTTTCTGTTGATTTCAAGCATTCTCCTCTCAAGTCCCCCAGTATCCAAAATCTGGGATGTCATATGGTATTTTAAATCATCAATTCAAAAGAAAATTTTAATAATATACAAAAAAAAAAAAAAAAGGGAGCAGAAGTAGCAACCTTCTTGGATGATGGAGCCTTGTTGCATATTACCTGTAGTAAACAGTACAAGTCATTAAGCTTAACCAGACCACACTGGAAAAGGTCCACATGCCTTTGAATTTTAATTATAATGAAGTGAGATTGAAGGAAAATTGAAGCAAAATATCATGCCCACTTCTAATGAAGTGAGATTTAATGTTTGAATATTGAATCATAATGAAGTGAGATTAATAGCTCTGTAACTTTTAGTCATCTTGGAGCATTAGATAACAATTATGTATCGTACTAGATTACCAAAATCAGCCCCTCTGTCATCAAAAGGGTCACACATTAGATTAGAACATCCGATATGTCCCACCCCCACCCCCACCCCTCTCTCTTCCCCTCCTCTCATTCCCTTTCCTAGTGCAGTATTGAAATGGGTTGAGGCCATTGTCTTCTTACTCATGATCACAAAGTTGCAATGAAGGTGCTTAAGAAGATTATTTTCCTGAGAATTGAAATTACAGGAACCATAATTGGTGATGGGGGTTCTCACTTTGCTCATGGTACATTCCAAAAGATGTTGAAGATGTAGTTCATCACAAGGTTGTCTTGCATATCACCAGCCAAGCCCAAATTTACAACCAAGAGAAAAAGTTTATCATGGGTCTTTTCCTTTACTTTGATAGTTTATCAACCGGTTCTCCCAAAGACCGCAGCAAAATATAGGAAAAATTGGAGAGAAGGTAAATGCAGCTCTTTGGCCTTTGGAGACTCAAATTGGGAACTTCTTACAAGCTTGTCTATGGGAAGTTGTGTCGCTTGAGTTAAAGAATCAAACTCAATGGGTGATCAAGAAGATAAACTTTGATCTTGCTAGCACCACTGAGCAAAGGTAATTGGATTTGCATAAAATGGAAGAACCTATGTTTGTGCTAGTGTGTGTAAGGCTTGAAACAAAAAGTGGCATGATTTCCAAATCAAAAAGGAGCTCCATGTTGATGACAAAGTCTCTAGTACATTTTTGAATCAAGGTTAATTCCTAGGAAGCTCAAAGTGTAGAGGTTCGCTGAGGTGAAACTGTGAAAGAGGTCTTTCCACACGGGGTTGCTGAGTTATAGGATAAGTCAAGTTCGTTCATTAGTTAACGGATATCGTTACGAGTTGTACTATGAAGGTGTCAAGATTGGCACGGTTTACACACTAATCCACATTGATCCAAGAAAGACTCATCAAGTTAAGACACTGCATTAAAGACACAAAAGGGCAAGCTATTTTTATTCTCATTAAATAACTTTATTCTGGCATTTTCTCTACTTTGTCATTTTGGATGTAGATTGCAAATAATGAGAAATACCATGTTTAATTCAAGAGCCACAAGTAGGTAGTGTTGAAAGCCCATAAAGAGACGTACTTGTGGGAAATATAGGAAAAATTAGAGCCTTAAGATACCACATAAAGTTCCGAAAAAATTTTAAAGTCAATAATTTGAGCTGCAAAACCCTCTTAATGTAGGTAGAAGGATATGAGTGCCTAAAGTCATTAGAGATACCATTGAGCAGGTGCTCGCTACAAGAAAAGACTAGCGGCACCCACTAAATGAGTAACTGACTTCAATTGGATATCATATCTTGCTAACACTCTCACACTACCCTTTTTACTTCAAACCCCACAACTCTTAAACCTTAATCAAGTTTCACTCAATTTGCACTCAAGTACTCAAAAAAAATACAATCTCTATCAAATTTATTGATCAAAAACCCACTCTCCCTACTAAAATATTTGCTAGAAAAAGAACCCCAATTTCCTCCTTGTTAAAGAGGTTGATACTGAATAGCACCCAATGATACTTAATTGAAGCAGCACAAATATTATGGATTGAAGAGAACTTGGTTTTTCTACTTATAATCTTGGTTCTACTTATAATCTTGGTTTGAGGTTCATGATTTGGCTTTCCAAAACTTACCCGGACTTAAATCTTGAGTTTTCTTATCTTCTATAATTACTTAAATTGGAAACAATGATTATTTGGTTATTCCAACTCGACAACAGACCTCAAAAACTCACCCTCCAGCAACACAATGAGCTAATTTGTTTTAATCCGGATGCCGGCATATCTATTTGAAGTTTGCAAAATTTAGCGTGTAGTAAATATGGTTGGTGGTGGCAAGAAAGATCGGGGAGTATAATTTCATTCTAACTCGTGGAAAGAAACTCACCCTCTGGCCCTTCGTATTCTTCATCAAATCTTGGAATAAACTATTTTAGAAAAGCAAGACTTAGGAAAGATCAACAATAATGAGGATTTGATTTTATGGATGGACTTCACAAAAAATGATGACATACTCTTGTCATGGGTTATTTTTTGATATGAGCACGAACACTTGGATAAGCTGAACTTATATTTGGATATGGGCTTCATAAAAATGATCAACAAGTGTGTGGCCTCCTCAAATATTTGGATAACAAGAGCATTTTGATAACAAACCTCAAAATAACACAAGACAGAGAGTATGTCTTGTGTTCCTAATGACCACAGTAACTTAGCCAAATAATACTATTTTGGGTCTTTTGTTAAAGCCTAAAGCACAACTACTTGTGAGAATTTTAGAACCGTCTTAAACCATTCAAGCAAATGAAATTAGCAAATTATCAGTATTGTTCTGGAACTCTATGGGCCTTTGTGAATGTACTTTGATTCCTTCAAATACACATTTGGATTTGATTCAGAAATTCAACCTCAAAATGGCCTATGATTCCATATCATATTGGCCCAAAATAATAGTCCCTCCGCCCCTTTTTTATCTACCCTTATGACCAATTTTAACAGGATAAGAAGGGGAAGGAGGAACTTCAAGTAGTAGTAGTACATGGGAAAGCTAAATTCACATTGGAAGCAAAAAAGTAGAGAGAGAAAGTAGTGGAAATACATGGGAAAATCAAATTCACATGGAAAAGCTAACTTTTGCAGAAATATATTTGCAAAATAAAGGGTAATATAGGAAGATCACCAAATAAAGACGAGAAAATGAAGATAAAAGGGTTATTTATGTTATCCTTCAATAATAAAAAAAAAAATGAGATGGGTACATCATTTAGATCCACCAAAAATGGCATAAGGGTAGATCAAAAAGGGACGGAGGGAGTATCTTTTTACGCGAATTGTGACAATATTGTTCATCTGTTCTCCAGACAATCAGGTTTAAAGTGTTGAAACTTTACAATTATAGATTTGGCAAACAAAACTGTTCTAACAGTAAGTAAAGTCGCCCCATGGACCAGAAAGGTACAAATTCTGTTTCTTGTGGACTTTTAAAATTCATTTGTTTACAGGACCAAAATTATTAACATGTATACACTAATTGGAAATGGAAAGGGTGAAAGCTAATAATATTGACCACCTATGCATGAGAGGACAGATAATAAACTATTGGCACAGAAAGACAGGATGATCAAAAGACAACCCATAATTTTGAAATTCATGCATGGCCTTATTTGGAAGACAAATGATGACCACAAAGAGATCATTATAATATATTAATTGAGCTACAAATTATTTTCATATCAAAATAATTAAATTGTATTGAGCACATTAGTACCTCAAACTTCACAGAACCAAAATCAAGCTTTTTCTTCACTTCTTCAAGAACATCAGGCTCTGCAAGCAACAAGGCAAAAGGTCAGATTTTAGGAACTATTAGAATTTACAAGGGTATCTTTCAAATAAAATAAAAATTACAAGGGTACAGTGATCTATCATGTAAGCATAAAACATTCAGAACTTTCCTCAATGAAAAGTGACTGAAAGTAACATTAAACAGCTAGAGGGGGGGAAGGGGAAGGGGCATCGATGGAATCAAATTATGCAATGATGTTGAAATGATTTGTTCCGCAATCACAAGCACAAGGAGATAATATGATCTTATGACAGCCATATGATTTGTAAGCAAACCAACTGGGTATAAAAAAAGAAGATAACTGCTGTTCTGCATCAGACAAAATGATAGGGAAAGAAAACTAAACAAAAGCAAACTTCTTAAGAAATAATCTATGAATATCTATTTACAGAAGTGTTTACCAACTGCTATTGGCTCTGTTGAAGCCGAGACCGGGTGTCCCTCAACTCCATCATCTCTCACAGGGGTGTATACTGCTACAAGTCGGTACCCCACATCATCAACATTAGCTTCATACATCCTTCCCGTTTCTCCTGAAATAGTAAATATCATAACTCATAAGGTTCTCACAGTCACAATAAATGCTGTGCTTAGTGAATACCGATGAGCATAATGCATATCGGAGTTTGTTAGTGACTTAAGTATACGTTCAGTAACAATAATGCAAAATTCTGACAATTCAGATTTGAAAAAAGCCTCACTAAGTCTTTCAATGAAGATATAAAATTTAAGAAACTTCATAGCACATCACATATGGTAGTTTGCAATTGATTAGAGTACCCACTATCCATACGGCGACAATAGACAGATTCAAAAAGCTTCTCCTACACTATTTACTCGAAATGAAATTTAACACACTTCAGCCTGGTTGACATTTTTTCAGCAGCTTCTTAACCATAGACAATTGAAATGACACAAGATACTCCCCTAACCCCAGCCAAGTTCTATTCCAACAGCCAATTCCTGGGGGGCTCCCTAATAGGCTAAGAATAATGTTTGTATTCTCCAGCACAGATGAGCCTAAAATGACACAACGATGCTACATCCTGCTATAAATTCAATATGATGTTTCAAATGCCTTTATTAAATCTTAATATAAAAGATGATCCCATACAACACATTAAATAAAACTCTTCCATTAATCTGTTCTTTAAGGACGAAAGACCACATATTCTACATAATCATCTTCTATGTATAAAATGATCTATCATATCACTATGAATGTCATTTGCCAATGATGAGGTTTTACTATGATAGTTAATACTACCTCCGTTTCTTTTTAGTTGACACGTAGTCCTTTTTAGGAAGTTTTTTTTTAGTTGAAATGTTTCCTTTTGGGGTAAGTTTTTTACCTTGCATTTACAAGCTACCCCACTTGTTTTATCATTCTCTCTCACTCTCTCTCCTCTCCTTAATATATGTGCCTAAATCAAACGCGTCAACTAAATAGAAACGGAGGAAGTAGGTTACAATGATAGTTATTAGACAAGGTCACATGTACATGCTTAAGAAGATGATAATAGGATAGCATATAATGAAGTTTATGGAGACACAGAGTAAGCCTGACGGACATACCTGGAATAGAGATGAGATCAGGACTGCCAACCATGGATCTAAGCCACTGTATTCTGCTTTTTCCCTCTTTTCCTCCACTATAAACTCCTCGAACAGCATACAAATTAGTGTGAAATCCTCTTCCCTCAATCTCCAGTTTATTAATTCTAGGTGTTCCTGAAGATAGCAAGAAATTAATTTGATAGAACAACTCCTACATAAATATTAAAGGATAACATGACTCCTGAGTAGAGCCAAGTGGAAATTGTATTGATTAAATAGCGGCAACTTTAAGCAAGTAACATGAAATGTAAGTTGCATGACTCGTCAGCTCAGAAAACAAAGAATTGTGCTCACTCAATCCTCCAATTATTGTCCTTATGGACTTGCAAACACATATTAACATTGATAGTAGGGTATATAGGTTTTTTTGTTGGATAGAGGAAAAACAAGAATTAAAATCTGAATAAGGAAACAAGAGTTGATGGAGGGTCCAACATTGCTTGATTTATGAAGAAAGAGAGAATGAGATAGCTAGTACTAGGGCCCACAACGCATGAGTTGGATGTGTTATATAAAAGGTGAATTTTCCATTTAAGGTAATAAGACAATCATATAGGGACTGACCAAAATGGTAAATGGAACAATTATTTGAGGACAGTAGTGATAAAGACATTACAGCAATTAGTTATGCTTGCATTCCCTTCATGCTGTTTATCATCCATTTGAGTAGCTCAGTATCTCTCAAGTGAGAACAGTGGGAAGAAAATTTTCTTTGATGACAAAACAGTACATTAGACACAGCCTATTCCATGTAAAATGCTCAAATACGCAATGAATAAAGCAGATTTCAGATATCTAACCCAACAGAAATTGGTCATTACTAGGTAAACAAAGGGTGAAACATAAAGATATGGAATAGAATTATCAACCTCTACCATATACAATCAAACATCACATGGTCATATAAAATAAAAATAATCATCTAACTGTATGTGCATTCTAACATCAGTAATGACAGTCAATATAAGTCAACTTCTTTACTTATGTTCTAGCTTCTCTATAGAAACACTAATATTTTAGGATACTAAAAATCCATTCAGCAACTATGACATACTCATGCGAATTAAGATGTTATTTCCCAAGTATACATCGTGAATCATTTCCCTCTTCTTTTTTCCCTTTGTATCTGTATTATGGAGTAATTCATTTTAGGATCTGGGAGAAGAACAGAAGAGAAAAAGTGGGAAAAAATATATACCTGGCATTATAGGAGTACTTTCAGTATATACGGGCTCACTTGACCTTCCAAAGACATCAGTAACAATACACTCAGATCTCAAGCAGCGATCAATGTCTTCATAACGCAATCTGTAAGAGCAGGAACTTTCTGAAGAAAGTAACTCCCAGGATCTGACATCCTCAGAATCTGAAGAATAATACCTACAGCATAGTGCATGTCAACACCAAGGTAAACTTAAAGTTTCAGATAATAATCAATCAAAAAAAAAAAAAAAGGAATATTCATCAAAGAAATGCTTTTGAAAAATGAAAACACCACTTTCTGGCTAAGTTGTTGAATTCTTTTTCCTTTACAAATGTGGCTTCCAAAGTGGGCAAAGTAACTCTCATGGGGATGGAACATTAATTTTGAAGAGGCATACCACAGGTATGCTAAACTAAGACCATTAAAACAAATATGTTATAAAGGAAAAATATCATGCATTGAATGAACAAAACGAATACCCTCTTCCATAAAATTTGATGCAACATGCATGCAAAAGTGGGGACTGGTGTAGGGGAGAGGGGACTGGTGTAGGGGAGAGGGGACTGTTAACTTAAGAAAAGTCCACACTAATTAACGTTAAGAATCTAAAATATAGTTTGTCTTCCAGCTATTTGGGAATATAGTTTTAAGAAGATTTCATTATACTTTAGATTTCATGTTACTTTATTTGCTCAAATATAAGCTCGTTAAGAAATTTGGTAATTACCATGTAACTGCAAACGATGGGTATTGTAGGATTACAATGTGACCATGGGTTATCTTTAATTGTGCATATGATGTGATTCTTTAAGACTTGTTTATAGATGTTTAACTTTATCTTGAGAATGTAAACTTATTCATTGTAAAAGTATAATCTACGTACATTGATTGAACACTACTAGCAAACTATCAGCATTACATGAAGAACATAAATATTAAAACAAAAAGTAATTCACATTTGTTTTGCCTACTTATAATATCAAAAAAAATAGTCCTTTTGATATTTCGCCTACTTATAAGAATTGCTTTCTTTAGGACTTTATCAATAACCCGAATAAGGCCCAGATGAACAGCTTCATTTATCAACGCCCGGGTCTTTTGAATTTGATGAGGGAATTCACAAAACAAAGAAACTTGCTAAGGCCCGCACAGACTAGATTTGCAACAGCTTTCATCACACTTTTATCTATATATAAGCAACAAGATAATATGAAAAAGATGTTTACATCTCAAGAATGGAGGACTAGTAAATGGGCCAAAGAACTGGGAGGCAAAAGAGCTACTGAAACTATCTTGATGCCTTCCTTTTGGAATGGAACTGTGTATGCATTGAAGTGTAGTGGTCCATTAATTCGTGCATTAAGGTTGGTTGATGGAGAAAAAAACCCCATGGGATATATTTATGAGGCTATGGAGTATGGACCGTGTCAAAGAGGCAATTGCTTCATCTTTCAATGGAAATGAGTCTAAGTACAAAGAAGTGTTTAAAATTGATAAAAGGTGGGAGTGTCGGCTACATCGCCCTTTGCATGCTGATGGACACTTCTTCAAATTGAGCAATGTAAAGAAGTAGTAAATGGCTTGTATGAATGTATTCAAAGGTTGGTTCCTATTGTTGACAAGCAAGACAAGATCATGGAAGAGCTAACATCTTACAAACAAGCACATGGTCTCTTTGGAAATGCAATGGCAATAAGACATAGGAAGACTAAGGCTCCTTGTATAAATTTCCTCTCTATTCACTTTTACCTTTAATACTTTCTCTGTTTCACTTTATCTGCAACAATTTCCATTTACGGAAGCTTCACATTATGTGAAAAAAAAAAAAAACAAACTTTCCTATTATAGTAAATTTTTTGTGTGAATTTACAGTTATACCCTTACTAAAGTTTACTTAACTTCAATAAACAACATATTAACCTCATAATCCAAATTAATTTATCCACAATTAAAACCCTAACCTACATTCTCTCTCCTCCCTCACAACCACATCCACCACCATCACCACCAATTTTTTCTCTCTCCTCCCTCTCAACCACCACAAGCCCTATTCACTATTCTCTTTCTTCTCTTCACAACTACCGAACCACCACCACCGCCGGATCAACTCGCCCACCTACTAGCCAGTACGTCGCCGCCGCCCCTCTTTGTTGCTTTTCAAAGTCGCGTCGTTTGCTCTTTTCCCCTTTTCAAAGCTCGCCGAATTTCAAAATCTAAATTGGATGGGTTTTTTTTAACCAATACGATGTGAGGTTTTGGATCTTGTTGGTTGTAAGGTAGGGTTTTAGATCTTTGTGGTGGTGAGGTGGGATTTCGATTTGTTTCCTTGGTGGTGGTTTGCTGGGGTTTTAAATCTAAATTAGTGGTGTTTTGTTGGGGTTTCGATTTGTTGAAGGTGGTAAGGTGGTTGTTCAATTCGTTGGGTGGGTTCGTTGGTGGACGGTTGGTTGGTGATGGTCGTATGAGTTAGTTGGGGTTTCGATTTGTTGGAGGTGGTAAGGTGGTCGACTCGTTGTGCGAGTTGGTTGGGTGGGTTCGTTGGGTGGTGGTGCGAGTTTGTTGGGTGGATTTTGGATGGTGCTGCGAGTTGATTGGTGGTGGTGCGAGTTGGTTGGGTGGGGTTTGGGTGGTGGTGCGAGCTGCTTGCTTAGTGGTGGTGACTGGTAAGATGGTGGGTTACAAGGTGGGTATTGGTGGTTTTACTTTCTCTCTCATTCAATTAATCACATGACCCTTTTTTTACTAATCTTTGCTTAACAAATTTTGTCTTGGGGAATGTGAAAGGGAGTTTGTTGCATATTATGTGAAACGAAGGTAGTATAAAATTTGTTGTGCAATTATATATTATGTACTAATATACTATTTATCTTATGAATTTGAAGCTGAGTGGTGGTGTTGTTATGGCTCTTCAACTCCCACTTTACAACAATTTTCCATCAAAATCCTAAGTCTTACATGTAGCGCATTAGGGTGTGAAAGAAATTGGAGTACATTTGAACATGTAAGGAAATGTTCTCTACAAACTAATGTGAACTATTTCATAATTTTATATACACAAACTAATTGATAATACTTTTCATTTTCAGATTCACAGCAAAAAAAGAAATAGGCTCACCCAAGCTCGATTAAGTGACTTGGTGTATGTTAAGTACAATCAAGTATTAATTAAAAGATATAAGTTACGTGATAAAATTGATCCGATAGCTTTAAAAGACATCGATGACTCCAATGAGTGGCTAACTGGGAGGATAGAAGACGCCGAAGATGCATTAGTATTTGAGGATGATGATGGTCTCACATGGGAACAAGTTGCAAGTGCATCTGGAGTGTATGAACGGAGGTTTAATTTGAGGTCTAAAGGGAGTAGTTCTGGAGGAAGGGGAGGTAGCACAAGTCGAAGTTCGTCACAAAGGAAAACCATAATACTAGAAGAAGGGGAAGAAGATGAAGAGGATTGGGAAGAAAATGAAGATTGAAGAAGATGAAGGGCTATAAATCACTTGAGGAAGATGACATGGAGGAAGACATTGCGCAAGGAGATGACTATATATGTTGCATAATATTTATTAAAAAAAAAAATTTAAAAAAAAAAAAAAAAAAAAACACATGATGTGTGTATCACCTACATGTTGTGCTCTTGGAAAATTAATATAAAATAAAAATATTTAGATACGTTGTTGAATTATTATGTGCTTTCTTGATTTATTTAGTGGATTATGTATGCTTGTGAGTAAAAAAAAAAAGGCTTATCTAAGTAAAAGTGTGCCTCACTTTGACAAGGCGCGTGCCTAACGCCTGTGCCTAGGCTCCAAGACCCCTATCGCCTTAGTTCGCCTTGCGCCTTTTTATACATTGGAAATAAGTTAATGTTGCCACCATTTAACAAATTTTGTCAAATGTTCCATCCAAGTAAGCCAACTTCATGTTATCCCTAGTTCTCTTTTTTCTACCTTTTCTTCTTTTGATTTTCACATTTAACTAAATTTTTGTTCCAACAAATATTTTAATTGGGTTAGGACAAAGTATATTGTAATAGATTTGATTCATTTCTAGTTCGTATAAAAAGAATAAGTTAATATATATATCAATTATAATATACTATTCTTCCCTTAGGGATTATCTTGAATTTGGAGAACCTATCAAATAGTGTTAATTTCCAAATTAAACGTAATTTACACTAGTTAACTTCATATTGAACCAAAATATGTTCAATTTATAAGCCAAAATATCCTCAATTTATTATTATTACTAAAAATTCTATATAATATCTGACATATAAAAAATAAAATTTAAATTTAAAAAATCCCCAGCTTGCATATAAAAATTTACTAATGTTTTTACCACCATCACTTTGTTTAGCTTAATTTGTCAGCCACTCTTTTTTTTTAAAAAACCAACAAACCAAAAAAAAGAACTCCTTATGTTTTCTCTAGTCTAGCTTGCTCTACTTTGGCTTCGCACTCTACTTAGTATACTTTCTTAACATATTTTTCCTAATTTACTTTTCACTAATGATTACAAATGATGGTTCATGTTAGCTGACCCCACATCCTTTTGGGATAGTTGTTTCTGTTGTCAACTTGTTATTGGCTAGAGCTACTATCACGCTAGTAGACTTTGTACATAACATTTAGTTTCTAGGAATGACCAACATCAAAGCTAATAAAGTAAATTATTTATATTGATCCAGCATTGAATTAAGAAGAATTTACCAAATAGATGAATTTTGGAGAAATGCTAAAGAAATTAAATTCTCAAATACTCATCACTCATTAAGTCAAAAACACACAGAGAATATGATGCATTTGCGCAATTATCAACACCTTACCACTGATATTTGACATCTTTCTTATACTTGCTCCAAACAATTTGTTGGCTCTCGCTATTTGGAATAACTTCAACGGAAGTGAGCAATTCTCCTTCCATTGCTTTTCCAGTGAGAGCAACCATCTCAATTTTCAACAGTTCTAAAGGAAGAAAAAAGCTTTTCATCATCCAAGAGAAAAAGACAAGGTATAGAGTACAAATTTGTAATAGAAATCCATAACAATTACAAGTTATGTCAAAGTCGTGTAATTAGGTAAGACAATTTGAGAGTCCATCTCTATTATGTCTGAGAACAAGCCTACCTCATACAAAATTTGCCTAGAAGAAAAGCCACAGAAGAGCAAGCAATCTATTGCTTGTAAGTTAAAATAGTAACAGATAAAAGAAACTGAACTGCAAAGGAAAAGTACAACATAAAGACAAAAGATAAGAAAGGCTAAACAAGCAGGAACTGAAATGGATAGTTTTAATGCCATTAAGAGAACCCAAGCACTGAGCGCAGGAAAAAGATAGAGATGTGTTCAGAGATAGAAAAAACAAAGGTGCCATACATACAATTAAAAGACAAAGTGTGATGTTGCATGATAAATGAGGGTACATGAGTCAGAAAATGCAAATCATTTCAGAAAAATTTCACGAGAACTAGGGCTGAATTTAGTAGCTATAGAAAACTTCAAGGTTTTCTCACCCAAAGCACTATTCATAAGAAATTGAGGCACTATCCACTTTTAATGGGATTAGGGATAGGGGTTAGGGTTAATTCTAAACCTAGGGCTATCAGCCTACCATATAAAAGGAGCCTTGAGCAGAAATCATCATTATATCAGGGAGTCGGAGATTAACCAAGGCATCAGGGAAATATTATTCATAAAGTAAATGAAGGGCTAGTAAAAAAAACACTATGACATCAGGATACAAGATATTATGTCCACAAAATCAAGAAAAGACGAGTGCTTAGATTTTTGACAGGAGGAAGTTTTTTTCGTCAATATCTGCCCGTTAATTTGTTACCTTTGTTCATCATTCCCAAGCCACATCAACATTTTACTTTTGACCTCCAGGGTTGAACCAGCTCAGCTCAAACAAATATAAGCGCAGCACCACGGGGAGAGAGAGAGAGAGAGAGAGAGAGAATCCAAAGACATTAGAGTGGTCAACTCATTCAATCAATCAAAGCCTTAATCCCATAAGTGGGGTTGGCTATATGAACCAAAAGTGATTATTCCGTTTTCCGTATAGTCATCCACCAAAATCTTCCTCCTCCATCTCTTATAATCGAATACCTCATTCTCATGCAAACCCCATAAGAGTTGGTCAACTGATCAACTAAAGTTTTGATCAACAAAAATTTTATTAGAAAGGTGAAGACACTAAACAGAATACATTATATGAGAGCAAGTGGGTAAGAATATGGCAATAAAAATGCTGGAAATATTTTTTGTAATCACCCCGGCCTGTATTTTTAAATATTTTATAAATGAAAATTTATTTTATTTATAATATTTATTTGTTATTTTTCATAATTTAATTTCTAAAGTTTCAAATTATTAATCTGGGTCGAAAATTATTTGAACAAATTATTTTATGCACCTTTATCCTACAATTTATGTCCAATCACACAAGCCTAACCCATTTGTTTATTTAATCGACCCATTATTTTTATGAGGCCCAATCTTTCTTTTTACCCTACAATAATTCTCTCCTATAAATACCCCATGAATCTCCAAAAATTTCCCACAAAAAAAGGTTAGTCTTATTTTCATCCTCCTTTGTTTCATTATTTTGCTTAATGTTAATTTAATTGTTTTGGGTTTTGATTTTAGTATAAAGATTATATTTTTAGTATCAAATTATATTTTAATGGTATAAAGATTATAAATTTAAGATTATATTTATGTTATAAATTTCATATTTTATGTATTATAAACCTAGGGTTTCAATTTATTGAAAATCATGATTTTAGGGTTTTTATGAACAATTGATTTAGGGCTTTTATAGTAATGATGTTTTGAAATTTTGGTGATTATAACTACTGATTAGTTTAACTCAATTCCAGTTTATTTTGAACACATAGATTCGTGTTTTAATTTCTAGATTTTCGTTCGTTAATATTAATCCCGTTTTAATCCCGATCAGCATCTGAACTCATTCGATTTTGATGAAAAAATAGTTTTTCCATGTGAAAACAACGTTTTAAGAAAGACTCACCACCTTTGGTAGTGAGTACCACCCTCTCGTGGCCAAATTCAGCCTCTAAATATGATTTTCGGGCAGTTTTTTATTTTAACGAAGTTTTTTATACTTAAAATATTATCCTTGAGTTTGATTAATAAAATTAATTATGTTTAAAGTTAATTAAGCATAAATATATGTTTTTATTTAATTTTTAAGTGTTGGAAATAGTTTCTAAGTATTACTTTTGATGTTTTATAAAGAGGGTTTAATCACCCATTAAAAAAGGAGATTTTTAGGGGGTTTTATAAAATTTTCAGATTTTTATTAGACTTTGAACTTGCTGTAATTTCATGTATAAGAGTGTATTTTAAGGTTTTTATGAAGAAAATTTAAAGAACTATGTATAAGCCTTTAATTTTAACTAAAGGGAAGGTTTTAAAGTGTTGTTTGATTTGGATTTTGAAGGTTTTAAAATAAGTTAGTATTGCTGTAAATTTGATTGATTGGGTATTGATTGAGATGTTATTATTTGGCTTAGGAGAGGAGTTTATTGAAGGTGATTTCTAGTTAGTAAAGTGGCATACCAATTCGTTTGCTCAAGGTACGTACAAGCTACGAAACCTTTCTTTTAGGTGCATGTTTAAGGACGACGGATCGAGAACTTAGTATCATGTATAGGGATGACTGAGTTAAATTGTTTGGTTATACATTGTGAATTTCGTATGACGTGCACTATTTTATATTGCAAGTATTATTTGTGCTCTAATTATGCAAAGTGCGCTTAGAGGCAAAGGTATATGATTGGTGTAATGATTAATTTAATACTCATTCATGATTATGCAAGCAAGATGAGTAAAGGAAGAATTTAAGTCTTCTAAGACGAGGTTAAGGTTTTGGGGTACCTTATGCACTCAAGGTGTTTATACACCGAGGTAGTAAAGGAATAAATAATAAATGTTGCTTGCCACTAATAAATCAAGAATTGAAATTGAAAAGTTGTTTTACTTGATGGAATTGATATTGGATTGATTGTATTGTTATGCATATGAGTCATCACCAAGTCTAAACCTGTAAATCACGTAAAGTGCAAGATGGATGAGCAATAAAACTCTGGATTGGTGCACTTTTGAAGTAATGACAATCGGGGGTTGGGGTACATGGGGTATTAGCCGTGTACTTTTCTCGAGGCCGTCTGATCTACGAGTCTCTTATTTCAAATATTTTTTAAAACTAGGAGTTAGGTGAGATCTCATACTAACTACGGTCACGGAGTCGCGCCCGTGGTCGTTGGATGTTTATTGATGTTTCCGAAAGGAGGCATGGGGTTTTTCTTTTATTGATGTTCCAAATGGAGCATGGGTTGGACAACCTTGTCTATTGCGTAATCCAATGAATAAAAATAATGATTTACCTATTATTAATTAATGGAGTCTTAGTAATATAAATAGTTGAGTCGTGTGCTGAGTCTATAATTTAATGATGCATGATGATTGATTATTAGTAGCATGTTATGGATTTCTTAATTTATTTTGCAGCTTGTATGTACTCAGCTTTGCTGATTGCGTGCTTTGAGTGTCTTTCTTTGGTCATGGCCTTCGCCTTTCAATGACCCTGTGACGATCCAATTTTTACACTTGTAATATTGGGGAGCAGAATTACCACAGGTTCTTACACATGCAGCATTCATCATGTGGGATCTTGAGTAGAGAGTTGGTTGTTTGCATTTTATTTCTTTTGCAAGTTTGAATTTATTTTAATTCGATTTTATTCGACACTATTTCTTTTGGGTTTGAATTTATTTGAACACTGAATTTAATCACTTACTACTTTTATTGGGTTTTGAATAAGGGCCTTAATGGTTCCAAGTTGAATGACTTAATTTGGTTTCATTCGTTGGTTTTGAAACTTATTTATAACTGATTTAGTTTTTCCGCTGCTATTTTCTGATAAAGCCTTAACGTTTGAACACGTGGCGGTAGCACGCCAGTAATTCTCTTGAATATTGTTCAGGGTCCTCACAGGTTTAAAGAGAGAATTATTGGGGTGTTACATTTTTACTTCAGCTTTTTGTCCTTGGGATGTGGGTTGTTTTCCTGTTGTCCTAAAATTATAATCCAAGACAACTAGCATAGAGCGTATTTCAAATGAGCCTAAGGATTACTGCTACTTGCTACTAACAATATCAAATTTGATATCAAATCAAGAAATAATATGAGATCGTGTTACATCTGGATGTTACGTACTTGTTTGAGTAAAGAGCAAAACTCCCAAGACTGGGACCCTGATAGCTTGACTTAAACTAGATAACTTATTCATTACACAAGCAAAGGACCGTGTGTACACACACACACACACACACACACACACACACACACACACATCACCACCTGATATGCATGTGCAGACACACAAGTGAGGTCCTAATAATTTGAGACAGATCATAAAACTAATTCATAGCACATGCAAAGGACATTCCTCAAAAGCAGTCTTACCAGGAAATAAAAGGTCTGTCGGATCTGAAAGCCTGAGTTCCCCAACGACTGAATCCAAACGAACTGGTGTATATCTGTTGCAAAAAGATTTAATGTAGCAAAATTTCAAAGCATAGATTAGCTAAAATCTAAGTTACCCTGTTACATATAAAAGTCAACATTAAGAATCAACAAATATAGATAAATAAAGTAAAAAACTAAAAATAGAAATTTAAATTCCATGGAAATTATTCCAGAAATGGTTACTTTTTTATATTCATTATGTAAAAAGGTGATTCATTAATATGCAATCACGAATAGCTTCAAGAGATAAAATCAGTCAAAATAAGGGTCAAATATGCAGCCCCTTCCATCAATATGGCTTGGCTCTTACATACACTATGCAGATACATTATAATAACTTACCCAAACAACAAACGACAATTGTAATCCGATTCAGTGACTTCATATGTCAGAGAATCAGCCCCATTAATTAAAGTAATTAAGCCTTCAGCTGTTTCTCTGTACCAACTGAACAAGCTTGATCCTTCATGTCCCCCAAAATATTCACCTTCGCCAGAATAAGTGCTTAAATTTAAAGATTTCACACAAATATTTCTGACAATGGGATGAGCTGTAAAAGTCAAACAGTTCAACTTTAATATTAGTGACTACGGAACTCGCATACAGCCCAGTTCCAAGCAAACAACCAGGTGCAAAATGCTAGGATGTAACAGAACCTTGTGCTTGGGCAATTAATCACAGATGAATAAATAATCTACAGCCAAAATCTAATAAAAGAAGCACCAGATAGCTCTCATCACTACATACTCCATCCAACGCCACCAGCCCCTAAGAAAATTACTACAAGAAAAAGAACAACAGATCCTGTCCATAAAATCATAAGTTAACAGTCACGTGTTTATATCCATTAGAATTGCCTACAAAGGAAACTGCATGCATATTAAAAAGTGAAGCGCTTTATACCTGGGGCAACTGGATCATCACAAATTGAAACCAATGGCTTGCCCGGTTTCCCGTCATCACGAATTGGAACCCAATATAGCACCAAATATGTCCCCACATCATCAAGAAATGGTGTGTATGTTCTGTAACATCAATTCATCATCAGAATTATTGAACTACAGCATGGAAATGGATATGTTAAACTATGTACAGACCCAAGCAATATATTACTTACAAGTCTCTACCACAAATAACAATATCATCATATGTATCAGATATGCTACTCAAATCAGATCCATGAAGCTTATTCTTTGTTCTGTACCAAATATATTCCCCAAGACCTTCATGTCCGCCAAAGTATATCGTATGTGGAAGCACCACCTCAGCCTCACAGCAACCAGGAATAGTAAGCTCCAAACCCACAGGATCAGCTGGCAAATATAAAAATAGAAACAAAAACAAAAAAATAAACATTAGTAATGTTCAACTAAGTGAATAAAAGATTACCAAAAAAAAAATATTTAAAAAAAAAAAAAAAAAAAAAAAAAAAAAAAAAACCCACATATCGATAGTCCACACTCATATGTCATATTCCATCCAACTATCACAAGACAACAGATTGCCATGAAGACAAATTTCTACAGAAGACAGCTGCCCAAATCCAAGTGTCATGAAATTTATGATGATAAGAAACTAAATGGGGTCAGGCCTCAAGGAATCATACTAATAATCAAGTAGGTCAGAATATAGTTTGTTTTCCTGACAAAATATTAGTCAGAAACAGGTGATGTATAAGTGTATAACCACGAAAAAAAAAATGAATTCAAGAAGTCAAAGTATCCTTAGAATCAATGGGAGTTGAATTTGTTTACCCCCTACAAACAACCCAGCACGGGGATATCACTAGGTTTTTAACCTAGCGTCCTAGCCTATTTGTGTAATTTTTTATATTCCTCAAGATCAATCAACCATCCTTTCACCTTCCCCTGTACATAACTAACACATTGTTACTTAACCTTGTAAATCCATTACAACAGGCATAGGTCCTACCTCCTAACCCAGAGTTAAGGGTTCAATTCTCATCACCGTTAACATTATAGTTGAAGTAATGTGGTGACTTCTTTCAAGGTAATACTCTTAAGTTTTATTCTATATGTGGTGTTAATCCCCTCATCCACTGCCTGCAAGAAATCGTGCCAATTGTAGCCGGTAAATTTTCCAAATACACATAATCAAAGTAAAAATCAGCCTCCTCTCTATTTTCTCTCTCTTTTTTCTCCCTGGGGTTCTTCAAAATAAGTGTTTCATAGGCCGGAAATAGCCAAATTGCTCGACCCTTTTCCATTATTTAATTTATGTTTTTGTTATTAAATACAATAAATCTACATTCTTTGAGTGTAGCAAGTACCCTTATAGTGGGCTTCAATGCCGTAAGTGCCCCTATGGTGGTTTTTTTCAACTTTTGTTTTTGAGGTAAGGATTTGTGCAGGATCAAATAAGAGGTTAATTGTTCTATTACAATCTGACGAAAATTTTCTTCACGGCTACAGCAAATCAATAGACCCCTTTGTCGAAAAAGTTTGTATATCACAACGATATGAAAGAGGGTATAAAAATTTACGATTTGCGACAACGATCGTAGCTATTCTGAAAGGATGTTTTTATTAGATTCAATTATCATGTATTTATTAGACATAAATCTCTTTGTAATGGCGTATGACTTTTTATTTATGAATCAACTTTTAGTACCAAAAAAAAAAAAAAAAAAAAAAGGAAATCAGGGTACACAGGCTAAATATTACTTCTACTTCCTTCGTTTCTTTTTAGTTGACACATTTCTTTAGTCACTTTTTTTAATGCACAAATGCCTTTAATTACCAATAAGCAAAAATTATAAAAAGTTGATATTTTGAAAGTATATATCGTGACGAAGCTAACAAGATCACACCTGACTACGTTTTTCATTACGTATAAATCATAAAATACGGTCAAAGGTAAGTGTGTGAATAGTGCTAAAGTCAAAACTTGTCAACTAAAAAAAAACTAGGGCAGTAATTTTTAAAAATTAAAGAAAAAGTGGGGTAACTTTCAGCCAAGCAGTCAATTTAAAGAGCAAATCTGCAAGCATACTGATAGAATTTTATTAAATCTAATCAATCTAATAAGAACAAAGCAGCTTAGTGCAAAAATTGTTAGCACAGACTAGCAAGAATAGTCAACGTACATCAAAAACATGCACAATTTCTGTGTGTTCAAACCACCTACCAGGAATGATAACATCAGATATAATACTCTGGGAAATTCCTCTTATTCCATCACCCCGAACAGGCGTAAATATAATTTCAATGCAGCTCCCAACATCATCAAGGGTTAGATCCAGATAATCTGCTAATATGACATATTTAGATAACCATTCATTTCATTATATAGCATGAAAATTCTCTCCTCACCATTAGCACATAGTTTCTCCTTGTGACCATTGTTTTGAATTCTAAACCATTCAGTACAACAGTTGCCTTTTACCCTGGAACGGATCAGAAAGATGATTAGAAGTACAATTGAAGAAAAAAGGAAGTTTAAATTTTGAATTACATTCTCACCCTCCATGATATGAAGCAATGAATGCCAATCGTTCCCCTTCCATCATAGAACCTGAGAACTTTAGTTCCTCACAGGATGGAAGACCTACATAATGTCATATAATCAGAGAAAGAGTAATTTTCAAAATGATCAACCAAATTTAATATGGGGAATAATCTCTTTTTTTATTCTTAAAACAGGCGACCTGATTTACACAAAAAACTACAAGTCAATTGCTCAATTGCGCTCGTTTGTTTTCTAAACAATGAGTTGAATTGAAGAAAAAATCATAATACCTTAAGTTAGTTTGTTTAATAGTGGCCACTAAAACGAATGTTACTCAACATTTTCAGCACAAGGTAGTATAAATGCCTATTACTATGTTGCATAGAGCAGATAAATCTGGTATAGGTAAGAACTAAATAGTTCAATTTTTTTCTATAACAGAAACGTGAAACCATAAACATTATCAAAGACTACTAGATATTTACCAGGTACTATGGGACCAAATTGCTCAGAGATTACTTCTGGACCACGTGCCCAGTCACTTCTAACAGGTTCACAGGATACTGATATTAAACATCCAACATCTTCAACCGAAAGTGTGTATGATGCTGTCATAGCATCATTGATTTCAATTTGTTGCCCACTTGAATCAGTCTGTAATTACAAATAAAATATGCTAAGAACACAGTAATTGCATCTAATAAAATTCGAAAATAAAAATAGATCATTCTCACTTCATTCTATTTTTATTCGAAAATATTCTTTGGAAAGTTGCAAAATGTATGCTACATTGATTTTTTTTGGCTAACTGCTCTCTATGTTCCTCTCCTAATCATGTGGGTCTCTCTTCTTATATCTCTCCTCGCCTTGAAAATATGCATCCCCCACCACCACATTGCAATTAAAATAAAAGAGAGTAAGAATAAATTTAAGCTCACAACCACAACATGACAAATAGTAAAAATAATCTGAACAGAGATTGATTCAAAATGCACATTGAAAAATAAAGTCTAGGACTTGAGTGAGAGCGAATATCAGTCACATGCAACATAAACTGGATGCAGTACCCGAAACCAGCGAAAAACTGATTCTCCCTCTTCACCTCCCCAATATAATCTCTCAGCAACCAATGTTGATCCTTCAATAGATTTTCCAGCTATTTGCAAAGATATCAACCTTGGACTTCCTGTCAAACAAAATTTCAAGAATCCAACACTGTTAATTATAAATTTATTAAAGTCTTCAGTTTACATAGGAATAAAATATCATGATCAACCAGCTATATTTTTGAGAATGTGTTATTTACTGCACATGAGTCCCAATAGTCTTTAACGTGGGCAACCAGATACAAGTTTCCTTTTCATTGATTAAGGAAGCAGGCACTAATGATTGCAATTGACATACACCTATATCTAATTCCAAATTGATTACGAGACGAATTCAAACATGATCTCAAATGATATAGGATGAAAACAAATAAGACCCTTCCAAAAAAATGTTGTAGAAATAAATACAATGAAGAAGGTAAATTAGATGTATTTACCAGCACGAACACGCTCATGTCCCATGCAAATGGTTTCTTTGCCAATCATACCATCATCTCGAACAGGTATGCATTTGAAGGCTATAAATTTACCAATCGCTTCCTTGGGTATTCGAAACTGAAGATGCCCCAAAATTTCATTGATTAAAGTGCCTGTTTCAGTTTCATCCTATGAATAGAGAAAATGTTAGCTATGACATGTTAACTTTTAGGGGAGGTCAGATGACAGAAGAGAACCTGTAGTAACACCCTAAGTGGTAACTAATACCTCATGAAGATACCAGTTGTATATACTTCTGCCTTCGTGACCACCTATATAACCATAGGAGGCTGTCAACATTTCACCTTCTGCATAATCACCAGTGACTGACAAGAAATTCAAACTTGGAGGAAGAGCTGCAAGATGTTGTAAAGATATTAGTTATAGAGAAGAGTTTGATCTTGGCTTAGAAGGAATGCTAGCTATATGCTTAATTGTAATCAGCTAAACAAAAATAAATAAATAAACATAAACATAAAAATATACAGTATAGAAATAAAAATAAATAATTAAAAAATAAAATTAAAAAAACAAAATACAGGAATACATCCCTCTAACATTTTTTTTATAAATGAATGAATGAATGATGATCAAAGTTTCATTACATTATTGAAATACAAATGCGAGAAGAGTTGCAACAGTAGAGTCAAATTTAATAACTTGGACACAACATTCGATTCCGGCCTTCCGCAATGTAGCTTACAATTTTGTGACAATCATTCTCTTATAAACTACGGTTTGGAACCCCACCGGCCCACCCCCTCTCAAAAAAAAATAAAAAAAAATAAAAAAAAAATAAGAGACGGAAAGAGAGAGAGAGAGAGAGAGAGAATAATATATGCGAATTTTATATAAGCTTATAAAGTTACACGTACTCTCAACAGTCATCTCAGATATAACATAAGCTGGTTCACCAGCTTCATCATCAGGGGTCATTGGAGTAAATTTTGCAACAATATAGTAGCCAACAGCTCCTAATGGTATGCGAAAGGCCTGCATAAGTGTAATAGTGGCAATAGACATAAGCACAAAATTGGAAAAGATTCTTATATATGTAACCCATAATATGATTAAGAATCCCACCTTTGCAATCTTGGACATGCTTAAAGCTTCTAGGCCATCCTCCCCAGATAAAGTAAAAGAGCTTGTTTTAAACCACTGTACTCTGCTGGCCCCTTCTGTTCCTCCAGTAACTGCACCACTTACGGTAATCTTACTTCCCTCTCTAAGTTCACCAACAATTCTTGTATTCGTTACCTTTGGAGGTGCTGCAGTTTGTAATACAACATGAGGATGTATGCTTTCCACATAAATTTACAATTTACAAAATTCTAGTTCATCCATCTAATAAGAAATAAATATAAACATTCAAGCAGCTCTCAGGCATCATTCTCAATATTTTTTATTACGGCTACCATAGAATGTCTATATCAGTAGCACTGAGTGGCTGTCGTGTGACTCGTGTCATCAGTAATCAAAGAAGAAAGTCAAACTAAAAGTAAAAATAAATAAAATATGAACCTTTTTAAACTCTTAACACTCAGAACTACCCAAGCATATTGGGAAAACTAAATACAAATTAACATATTCCTCCAAGCTAGATAATAATTCAAGGTCCAATCGCTATAATTAATAGTGCAGTTACATATAGAGCCTCACTAAGCAAGCATATTCTGCTGGTTTTTAGCTGAGAAATTTCATCAACTAAGAAAAAGGATGTGGAAAGGATGTACACTGGAATTCGAGGAGAACTAAACCATAAAGCATTGTCTAATACTTTTAGACGTAACAAATATCATTTTGTCCACCTCCTTTTTAATCCCTAGTTGAAATTGTCACATGATAAACCATCTTCTAATGATGATAAATATACGTTGTATTAAAATTCTAAATTCCCAAAAACATATTCATCTCACACATTTTCCAAAAATAAGAAAATGCTTCAATAAATATCTTACAATCAAAAAAATTACAACATATCAATGGGAACTTAGTATACCAGACACAATTTCAGAGATGATCAACATGCTGTTAATTAACTCTCTAAATCATGCCCCATGGAATATATCCAACGTATGAACAACAGTCAACATAAATTAGATAACAATGCATTGCTGGCCCACAAAATATGTTGGAAAAGTAATACATCAATATAGCACAAAGACAAAGAAATGGCTTCATGAATCATGAGCCTCCTTCGATTCCCAGGCTATATATAGAAGATTCAATATGAATGGCAATGATATGACAAAAACTCAAACATGAAAAACTAGATCAAACATAGCACAAAGAAACATCCACATGAGCCAATTTCTTCACAAACCTCCAGATATAACCAGAAGAATCAGAATGAGGGAGTATCTTAGCCATTACCTTGCTTAACTATATCAGAAAATGCAGAAGCAGATTCACCTTCTTTACCTACAAATTGACACAGAATTAGAAACATAGAAATATATATATATATCAAACTATGCAAGACAATAGAGAGATAGCAGACCCTCAAAATTCACAGGTATATATGTGAAAACCACACGGCAGCCAACATCGTCCCGTGTCAAGGTATATTCTGGAGCCCCACTTAATATTAATTCAGATACCCTGAAGACAAATAATTAGGAAATAAGATAAGCTTTTACACTGATTTCTGTGGCCAAAGAAACAAAAACTAAGCAATATAGAAACAAAAACTAAGCATCACCTTAACTATAACAGCTGAAACTTTTTACCAGTGAACAAGACAAAATTTGACCAGAATTTTATCCAATATTTTTCCAATTTAAAGTTTTATGATAGAGTACTTGAAATTTAAAAACATAATATAACTAAATGTTCAAATGTTATATGACTAGTACGTTGTTAGAGATGAAATGAGGTGACAACTGACAAATGAGTCATTTTGTTTGATCATTTGGATTTGGTTAATATCTGGTGTTTGATTTGATTACAGTTTGGCCAAGGTAAGTGAATAAATTGTTAGATAAAAGAAAATAATTATCAGTAGCGTTGATTCTCTGATCAGATTGGTTTAGGGTCAATATCATCTCAGGTAAAATTGCATATTAACTATAGGTTTGGGTAGGGCAATCCTAGATCTGGTTTAGTTCTGTCTGGACAATGTTCTATGAATGAAGACATGAAACATCAACCAGGGTGCCATGTTGATCCTGCAGATCTTCTTAACCCTTTGCTCTAACAACTGCCACCTAATCACACTCATTCCTACACTCTAGGCAACATACAGCATCTAAGCAAATGAGGTATGAACATACTAATGTCTCATGACAAATTTATTTACTAGACCGACCTGTACATAGAACAATTCACCATTCCTCAAGAAAACATATGAGGCCAATAAAACAACACTATGGTAATAAGAAAGAATAAACAAATTTTAAAGTAATGAATACTCAATAACCACACCAGATATGAGCTAACCTTGTTTCTTTATTGGCACGCAGCCACTCATACTTGCTAGGACCTTCTCTTCCTCCAAAGTAATCTCCAACACCCTTGATAGTGTTGCCTTCAACATAATCTCCAATTATCCGTAAATTAGAGACTGATGGAGGAGCTGACCATTGATAATGATCATAGTCAGACAATAATAACTATTATATTTCTCTGAATTGTATACTCATACACCAAGAAAGAAACAGGGTTATTATGATCCCAAACGAATACTAAAACATAACCAGACAGTAAAATGCATCAATCAAATGCATTCAAAATATCCAGCTAATGAAAAATCAACTCTAGTTGAATGAAGTATGTTAGCAGTAGTCAAACAGCTGGGGTAAACATGCACATCCAGATCTCACAAGGGTGAATGTCTCCTAAATTGCACCTCATTTCAATACAGCATCCTTAAATATTAGAAAGCAAATATGCTTTTGTTGAGAGTAAATCCAAAAATTAAAAAAAAAATAATAATAATAATAAATAAATTAATAAAAAGTTAATAGATAGTCCCACAAAAAATTTAAAAAATAAATAAAAGTCTTTCTTGAGATGGGTCCAGACTCCACTCTATATATAATGTTTTACTTTTCCTCCTTTTATTTGTTTTCATCTTCTTTCTACGCAATTAAAGCATTATGGTTCCCACTTTCTCTCGCCTCAATTAATTAACAATAAACAATACTGGCTACTTATTTTCATATTCACTTATTCTCAACATAAAAAGTTCCCAATACCAAAACTCTCCTAAAGCCATGTGCCTGATAATAAATAACAGTTGAACATAAGATATATACCATTCACGTACCTAAAGAACAACGAATTTAGCAATATTAAACTAACTGATGTGAAGATAACAACACCAGTTACACTACATGATCTTCCAAAACTGCATGACTGTCACAACACAGCATGTCTATTCTCAGTCCCACTTCAGTATTCTTCATCCTAAATCACAATGTAGTCTCTGGTAACACTCAACACTTATTATCTTTAACTCGCCTTCTCTGACTTTTGTTTACATTTTATACAGGAAAGTTAAGAAAATGTTATCTTGGGACGAGAGAATCACCCTACCGAGTGCAAGCAAATGTATAGTGCCCATATCAGATAAATCTCTTCGACATATAACAGATTAAGCATTTATATACATCAATGTGAGCTTGCTAAATGCTACTAAAGTATTTTTGGGTCTCAGGATGTAGCTAAAAGAACATATTAGAGGAGCAATGCAGTTACAGTGAAAAGTCAATGAATCAATCCAATTTTGCTTGTATTTACCAATTCATAGTATTGCGAAAAGATCAGAAGGATACAAATAAAAAAAAATAAAAATAAAAATAAAAACAGAACAGGAACAAAAAAGAGTATTATTCATAATGAATTATTCTAAAAGTAACAAAGTTGGGGACAGAAATAAAATCTAAAAAATTAGCAGATTAAAAGCTCACACACCTGATTTTACATAATCAGTGATGGCATACTGAGGTTCTCCTTTGGTACCTTCAGCTGTTACCGGAGTGTACATAAAAACTAAACTTGAATCAACATCATCTATAGTCAATTGATATTTAGCTTCTTCAGCTCCATGAATTACTGCAGGGCTGCTGTTCCATTTTCTCCTTAACCAGCTGTGAGATTGTGAATTTATCATACAAACAAAATCAAATGGCAATTGCTGATCCATAAGTCGGAAAGTTTACAATAGCACTACTGTGCAACAGTCATGCAACGATGGTTCAATATCTTGCTTCATAGGTAAATCACAAATCTATGGGATCAGCTATACCATCAGCCTTTTTCCAACCAAAAACAGAAACACCTCCTCTCAATACAAGAAAAATTTTGGGTCTTTTAAGAACTACTTTCTAGAAAGCCTCTTAATAGATCAAAGCTTGGGTTTAACAGTGGAATGGAATATTAGAAAATTAATGCAAATAAATTTCACCTGTAGACACTTTTTCCAGGAGTCCCACCACACCAAGCAACCTCAGCACAGCCCTTAATGATGTTTCCCTCAACAAGGTCACCACGCACATCAAGATTCAAGACCTTTGGACATCCAGTTCCTTCAAGGACAGTAGATATCCAATGAGCAACAGCAATAATATCAGATTATCAGTCACCAAATAGTTTGATGTTCATATTTAAATGACTAGTTCATTGATGCACATATGATACCACATTTCATACTGTAAATAACTAACACATTTGCCTTACAAGTGTACTTCATTCTTTTAAGTTGTAACATATTGACTTTTGACATCATCCATATACCTCACTTTGACCATCATTTCCATCGGTTATTTATAAATTAAGAATGAAAGTTATGTACTTATGTTGGGTCTTAATTTGTCTCAGCATATAGTTTAGTTGTAACATGTTGAATATTGACATCATCCACATACCTTACTTTGACCACCATTGCCATTGCTTATTTACAAATTAAGAATGGCATGTGCTTATGCTGTAAAATGTTGAATTTTGATATCGTCCATATACCTCACTTTGACCATCATTGCCATTCGTTATTTAGAAATAAAGAATATCAGTTATGTACTTATGTTAGATCTTAATCTGTCTCAGCGTATAAGTATTAAGTACAAATAATAAACTTTTTGTAATAATTACTAGCAAAATTATACATGGGTCAGCGCTCATAATTAATGGAACTAAAATAACAGATGAGGTACACATCTGGCAACAAAATAGACTTTCAACCTTTGTAAACATCTACCAATGTAATCCAACACTTCAGATAGTAACCAATTAAAATATTATCAAAAAACCCAATGAAAAGAACAACACGTCAAGCCATTTCCAAGCCAAAACCAATCTATAATCCGAATAAACAATCACGAAAAATCACTATAAAGCAACCACCAAAGCCCTCCCAAAAGCCAACACAATGACATCAAAAATCACAGCCCTCCTCATCTAAGGCCACCTTCACCGGCACCTTTTGCAACCAAGTGCTACTAATACTGCTCCTATACTATTTTATTTCCTTCATTAAGTTTAAACATATAAAAGTACTCCCTCCATTTTTATTTTTATTTTTTTTATTTGCATCACTTTCGTTTTATGGGTGTTTTAATTTAAATGCATCACTTCTATTTTTATCCTTTCTCTCTCTTACTTTATACCCCACTCAAATTATTTTATCGGTTCTCTCTCTTCCATAGTCCATTAGTCCCTACTTAAATAATAATAATATTTATCTCTCTCACATACTTTCTCTTTCATGATTCCCATCTTACTTTTACTATAAGTATTTATTCACTCGATCATAATATTATATTACTCTCCTAAAACTCCGTGCATTCTCAAGTGATGCAAATAAAATTAAAAAAAAAAGAAAAGAAAAAAAAGAAAAACAAAGGGAGTATTTCATTAATGGGAAACAAGTGACGACGAATGTAGCACAGAATTCCATCTCCTTCCAATAATAATTTATCTTTGCAGCATTTATTCACAGAAACCTATCTAATATCATTGAATGATTATAGGCAAGGCTTTACAACTCAGATCAACAGAATATTATATCTCCTGCTAAGCATCATTACTAGATGTGGAAACAAGAAATATTCAAGATAGTTTAATAATTAACAATCCAAGTTCTAAAATTTATACACCACAAAATAAAACTATAAACAAAAAAAAATTAACACACCAGGAGAGACTTGTGAAGAAATTGCAAAAATTGGAGGGTATTCTGTCTCCCCAAATACAGGAATGCATTCAACCTTCAAGTACTTATCAACTTCATCATGCTTTGGACAGTAGACCTGTCAGAGAGACCAAATGATCAAGCAGAGGCAACACACCATTTACTGATCAAAAATCTCTTTGGGATCCTCAAGAACTGTTAAAGAGAGAAAAGCATATTACCTCAGAAATGGCATCAGGAATTGCCTTGAAATTTGAAAGAACCCCTTCTCCGACATACCATTGATATTTTAAAACCAAGTTTGAGTCATTACCATGGTCTTGAAGGAAAATAAAGTGGCAGCGGCAAGCATCTTCCTCAAAAGGCAGATCAATTGATGCTTCCTTGAGGAGAAATCCTGGGGGCAGTTGATCCCTCCATTGTTCAACGAGGAAGTCAAAAGTTGAGTCTGCAAAAGAATATATATAAAGCAATATTCAGTAAACTGTACATAAATAGAAAATTCAATAGTACACATACTACCCTTTTCAGGTGGAACACCAGTTCTTTGTAATTTTTGGAAAAAGGAACACAGATAATGTAAATAAGCTCTCAGGCATATAATTTCAATGGAAATCATATGGCTTGCCAGCATAGTCTGCAAATTTGAAGAGTAAGTAGCCAACTACTTCATTTTGTCATTAGGAACTATTTTTTTGGCACTTGAGTTTTTATATGAAATATATAAAGTTCAACAGTAAAGTGAATTGCTATAACAGCTCAAGAGTGGGATTCAAAAACAAATGGATTGCAGACATGTGGAGAGTAGTTCCTTTGACTATTCGATGGTGTACATGGAAGGAAAAGAATCCACAGATTTCTTAGAGGAAATCCTTGTCACTCCATATGAAATGTTATTTTTGAGGATCTTGTATAGTTGATGACTTGATGTTGTCGAGCACTTCAGCAAAAGCATCACTATCTTGACTTCAAAGAGCGCTCATGAATAATTCCATCGAAAAAGGAACAAGTTTTGTCCACAGGTTCTTAAGAAAAAGAAAATTTGTCACTGTCTTGGGGGATAAAAATTCTCAACCCTAGCACTACTCCTTTTTTGGGGGGTCAACACCCTTTTATGCCCTTAACAAATTCTTTATTACCCATCCAAAAAAAAGTATCAATCACACTGCACTGCAAGAAAAACTACAGGCAACTAAGTCCTAGTATCAAGAGGGATCATATGCAAGGGAGTACCCCATTCTCTGAACCACGTGTCATCTCCCAAAATTTTTAAAAAATAAAAATGAAAAGAGTATCAACTGTCACCGCCTACTTTACGCAAGGCCCAATTTGTAAAGAGTTGAATTATTCAAGGGATATCACATTTAGATACAATCTTCAGAATCCAAGGTTGGGTAAGTTCACAATTTTAGAGGGATTGGTTAAGGGAGCTCCGTTGCATGTTTTAACCTGTAGCACTTTTTTCATTTACTTACAAAACAAAATATTTGGAAAGCCAAGTTGAAGATTTTACATGGACACATGCTTGTTTTGGATAGACAACCAATTTTCAAAAACTAAAGGAAATTGTTCGTGATGATAAACAGTATAAATGGAATTTAGATAAACTATTATCCCCAATGTCCATTGTTTATACCTTGGTAGTGAGCTAGTGATGACTCTAAATTGTGAAACAGCTTCCTTTTGTAGAATAGGTTATTTCCTGGAGATCAGTTGAATGTCTACAAGTTAAGACTTTAAGAGTCAATATGCCATAAACCCGTCTTGCTTATTCCTTTATGGGGTTATGATAATAGATTAAGCACAAATAATTTTTCCTTAAACTTTTAAAGAGATTTAGAGATTCTCTTTACACATGCCCAATCTATTTTTCCTTCTAACATTTTTATGACATCGTTGACCTTGATTTTCCGAAAGTTGTCTCATTGTTAATTTTACAGTAACTAGGGTGCACGCGGAGGGGCTAGCTCTTAAGAAGAAGTTGTATTGGCGTGTTTTTACACCTTTGGTTTCGTGGTAGTTTTTAATCCATTTGGTTTATGTGCTTATGTGGTGGCTTTGAAGAAGAGATTGAAAGCACACCTGAATCTTTTATGATGATTATAATTTAAACCCTTTAAAGTTAAAGGGTATTATTCCAAAATTACTATTAAATTATATTTAATTGATTTGCATCCCTTCATATAATATTATTATCCCTTCATATCTTAAGGGGCAATTGTTAATTTAGAACTCTTGAGTGATTTCCATGTTTCAATAATACTTAGTATACTATTTCTAGCGTGATTTTTTTTCCGATGACTTTTTTCTGAGCTTAGGTCATAATATGTGAAATATTGCAGCTAAAAACTTCAAAATGTAAGTTCTTTAATGTTCTACTACCATCTAATCTATTAACTATTACTAAAACAAAACTTTGTTGATGTCATCACTGTCCATATGTCACTCTCATTATAAAAAATTTCCCGCCTAAATGCATGATGATGTCATGTTTTTTTTTTTTTAGCTATTATATTTAATAAATTTTGAAATTTGAATAATAAAAGCTTCAATATTACAAATACAACCTATCATTTTATCCTTAAAAAATGAAATAATTTTAAGTTGTACACTAATAAATAGACTCCTACATTAAAATATGTATTAGGCAAAGTTGAACAAGTATGATATTATAATTTTAATAAAAATCTAAAATTTTCAAAATACAGATATTTTGTACAAGGTGCATATTCTATTTATATTTATTCTTTTTTTTAAAAAAAATGTACAAATTATAAAAATAAATTTTATATAAACCGTGCATCGCACGGGTTCTAACCTAGTATATATACCTAATACACTAAAGCAATAATCACTCAATAATATTTTTCCTCTTAAATTCCTTCATTTTCTCTCCCATAATTAATACCATTTTATTCTATCATAGATTTCCCTTGATTTTAGAATTTTTAAGTTCTTTACCCTCTTGATAATGTTGTTTATGTGTCATTCACAGTCCCATAACGTTGTTTATGCGCCATCAAATAACGTAAATTTCAAAAGCTAATAAACCTTAACAATAGTTGTAGTTAAACGACGACAAGATTGTAAATAAGAAGAGTAACCATGAAGGAGTAAAAATAAATAGTCTCTTGGTAATAACAGTCTCTTTGTACATAAAGTTTTTTTTAAATTTTAAATAATAATAATTATAATAACATATGAAGTATAAAGCATTAGAAGTTTTTTTTTATTCAAATAAATTAAAAAAAAAAACATTACAAGTTTTTGTTAAGAACAAAAAAAAACTTTGATTTAATTGATGATATGTTTAATGAAAAAAAAAAAAAAAAAAACATTGAATACATTAATGAGAGTATGATGAGTCACTCTTAAGGAGTAGTTTTAAGTCATTTTTCGTATTTATTGTCCTCCATTTCCCTTTTTATTCTCTTATTTTCTATTTAATAAATTTTCTTTTTAGTTTGGTAATTTTGGCGTGTTTTAGTTTATTTGGTTTATTTATTAGTTTTTAAGTTTATTTTGTTATTTCATTTGATTTTATATACTTAGAATAATTTTATATAATTTTTATTAGTTTAGTTTTATTTCTCTTATTTTTATTATTTATATTATTTTCTGTGTCCCAATCCTTTCCTCAATTTTGTGTGTAGGCGTTCGGGTTTCATGTCAAGTGAGTTCGGGCGCCAATTTGAGCAAGGAAACAATGTCTATGCTGCTACTATGCTGCCAGCTTACACCCCACCAAAACCTTATCCTTCACCACACAAAGTCAACCTCCCCTGCTCGCTATCTTCTCAGTTAACTACACTCCAACTCCAACTTATTCCCATCAACCAACCGCAGCTCCTCTACTTCACCAACCACCCAGCAACCAGCCACCCAAACCGAGCACCAACACCACCAATCAGAACTCTCCTACTCCCTCGATCTTCCCACCTTTGCACACTCAAATCAACCACCTGCCACCTTAATTACCCCCTTCATCCCAGCAGCCCTGCTCACGCAAACAACCAAACCGCATCAACCGAATCAGAACAGCCACCCACAACAACCGTTCCCAGCAGCAACTTCCAACCACCATCACCGAACACCAATTCCAGCCCACCACCACCGCAATAATCACCTCAATCAACCACCACCTTCACACCAAATAAATGTCGCAGCTGCTCCCTCAGAACCCGCAATTCACCCACCGTTTCCACCTCCTCTGCTCCTCCCTCACAATCGCAATTCAGCCTCAATTCAGGCCCAGTAATCGAACCTCAATAAAGCCCCAATTTATTTGGAGCTTTTCGCGGGCGCGCAGCCCTGTGATAAGACGCGCGAATGGAGTCCAGAAAACAGATTGTAGGCAGTAGCAATTGCGCGACATCTTTGCGGGCGCGCAAGTTTGGGTATAATTCGAACCAATCACGAGCTTTGGACGTGATTATTTATGGAGATCGAACGGTCTTGATTTGATGCTTGATAATTGCGGTTGAGGATGAATGGTGGTGATTTAATGATGATGATTGATGATGATGTTTGGTGAGGCGCATTGGAGGCAATCGTTCCCCATTAGAGCAGCTTCAATTCGAGAAGAAAAATGAGAGATGATTTGTGGGATTTGTTTTGTTTATTTTTATTTCATTTTCTTTATTTTTTATTTTCTTTTTATTTTCCTTTTTCCTTCTCTTATTCCTTTTATATTTTATTTTCTTTTGTTTTCCTTCTTATTTTCTCATTTTCTTTTATCTTTCTTATTTTTCCTAGCTTAGTATAAATACCCATATTTGGGGTAATTAGAACAATCAACTATTATTCTATCCTCTTAATTAGTTTTAGGAAAGTTTCTCTCTCTAGGTTTAGATTAGGGTTAGAGTAATTTAAAGGGAGAAAGTGAGGGTTTCTCCATTGTTGAACTTGGATTTTGAAGAAGAAGCTTAATCAACCTCTTTGTAGACCTTCAATTCAATCAATGAGCATCTCCTTACTCTTTTCTCTTTATCTTTCTATTTTATTCTTGTTTTAGTTATTAGTATTGCTTGCTAATCATATTAATGATTGGCTATTTATTAATTAATCTTGTTGGCATGATTAGTGAGTAATCTCCCCATTAAGGGGATGGTTGTGGTTTATTTGGATCGTAAGCATGTTTTAGGGTATGGAGTTGATTTGTTTGTGGTTAAAGTCTTTATATGCTTGATGTTCTTCAATTTACTTGCAAAATGCATGTTGTTAGTTGATTGGAGGTGAATTATTGCTTGAAGAAGCGATAGCGGACCTAGCATGTATCGTTTATTACTTGATTTCACCTTCTAATATATGGTTCTAACGTGATAGGTGGCTAAGTTAGGAGAAGCCAATTGACCCCGGTAGGTGGCTAGATTGACCTCTTACTTCGATATTCAAGCGTATTTAGTTCATGATTATTTCAACTTTTATGCCTTTGGTTATGTTTGAGTGAATGCTATACCTAAACCATTTCCCTTACTGTTTTATTTCTTGTTTCAGCATATTTAGACTTTAGTTTACTTACTACCTATTCCGGACTAGCTTAGTTGTTGATAACATTTGGTGGTGTTTTATTCGTTCCCAGTAATTCGATCCCTATGCTTGATTTATACCAGTATTAGGTTTGCTTAGCTTGTATAAATTGTATTTAATCTAGGGATAGACATTTGACAATGCGTTTATTACCTTGTTAGGGTACACATATTAATGAAGGTAAAAATGTAAGTACAGATTTTTATACATATTTTTGTTCATAGTTTTGAAGGTATAGTTGGTAGCACACTATTCCTAAGAGTTATCTTATACTTTTTATAAGTAGGGATTCTAAGTTGGTATTAACTTGATCCATAAATGATCATACACCTTAGAAAACCAACCTGCAACACGGTCTGGAGAGCAAAATTCCCAACCATCCCTTATGCAGAGGGCAGTACACGTAGGGTAGTGCTTAGCAATTGTGATTTCTTCCTTGGAAAGGTCTGAAACAAACCGTAAAAATGAAATGAGAGATTCTATCACAATAGTGATCGATTTCTTGTATAAGGGTAAACACTGACCTCTGTCATTAAACTTCTTTAATGTGGGACCAACAAGCAAAATGGATGCTGCTTCTATATGAGGCATCCGGAGGATCGGGTTCTCCTCGACTCTTAAGTGCTGCACAATGTGAGTGATGTCAAGGCATGACACATTACAAACATATGGGAAGACAAAAAAAAGTGGAAAACACAATAAAAATAAATATAAATAAATAAATAAAAATAAATAAAAGGGGATTTTGTTATGTTCATTATGAAACAAAAATATATTAAGAACATTATGAAACAAAAATTAAGAACATTATGAAAAAACAAGGTATATGTAATTTAGGAAATTTTGACTTTACCACCAATATAAATCAAAAAATTGTTTTTTGCCACCAAAACTTCTAAAACTTTTAGTTTACCAACAAAAAAAGTTCTAAAAATTGATTTTTACCACCTAACGTCAAGAAACCGTTAAATCTAACAGTTTAAAAAATTTTCTTCGAATTTTGTGCGCAAAACATGCTTTTCATAAGTTTAGGGGCCTTTTAGGCCTATAGGTCCAATTTGAGGTCAAAATTGACAAAAAATGATCGGAAATGTCTCGTTTTGCGTGTTCACACAAATCGAGGTATTTTTAAACACGCAAAATGAGACATTTTCGATCATTTTTTGTCAATTCTGACTTCAAATTGGACCCGTAGGGCCAAAATACCCCCACAAAACCTTTACAAAGCATGTGTTTGACACGAAAAATCAAAGAATTTTAAAAATTTCGTTAGATTTTTGACGACAGGTGGTTAAAAAAAATTTTAATTTTTAATTTGGTGGTAAAATAAAAGTTTTAAAAGTTTTGGTGGTAAAAAACAATTTTTTTGATTTATTTTTTTTTTTTTTGTGGTAAAAGTCAAAATTTCCTATAATTTATTAAGTTCTAAAATTAAACTTATATTTTGATCCAACTTATGCACGTAACTATATAAAGGTTTCATTGAACTTAGAATTCGTTTGGCATCATTGTGGTATTCTATTTTTTTTGTTTTTTGTTTTTCAAAGTCACGATATATGTCTCATAATGGATTAATGGCTTAAAAATTAGACAAACTTCTTATATTCACGACAATTTTGAACACTGACAATAAAAAAGTGGAAACACCTTTTTTTTGTTTCTTATTTTTGGTTTTTAGTATTTTTTTTAAAAAAAAAAACAAGAAACAGAAAACAAAAATCAATGCCAAACAAATCCTTAATAAATAATATACGTTTAAGGGAAGCTTTTCCGAGAGTGACACATTAAGTTTTTAATTTAGCTTATATGAATTCATATGCAATAAATTGAGGTAAAACAAAATTGGATAAGAGATGTGAATAAATCAAACTCGATTCTCATTGAACAAGAATACTGATATGTCTAGTTTATATAGTGTTTTATCCCCGTCCCGTGGTCGTTATTAGTAGTGTTTTTGCTCTTTCGGGCCACTTTTATTATTAATTTGTGTGTTCTAGTGTTTTCGTAGTTTTAGTTGTATTTTACAGGAAATTGCACTCTTAGAGCATTTTCCCGGGCTTTATTGGATCGACTACGGAAGTTAGAAGGACACGACCACTTTTGGAGCCCAAGATCGGTGAGAGCCGGTGATTAAGGGCTCGGTAATTTGGATCACGAGGCATTTGGACCAAGTATTCGAGACCCGAGAGGAAATATGGATTGGGCCGAGAAATCTAGCCCAATCGAAGTTCAAGCCTCGAAGAAGAAGACCGGGCCCGATCGGGCATCGGGCGGCTGCGCGCAAAAGGGACCTTAAGGGAGAAGCGCGCCCGATCGGGTTAGCGTAGGCTCGATCGGGCGCGGCACATCAGTATAGGGCGTTGTAAAAAAGGCGGGCCCGATCGAGCGGCCCTTCGCCCGATCGGGCGCGTGTTTTCCTAGTGTCTGATTAGTTTAGTTTTAATTCGTGTTTTAGGAAAGGTTTAAATACGTTTTGTACGGAATTAGTAGTTACCTTCTCTCTTAGACTTTCTCTCTCTACTTAGTATTTTTCTCTCTCTTAAATTCTCTCAAAACTTTTGTTCTTTAATTCGTATTTTGGTACAATTTCTTCCCTTTTTAATTTCAGCTATTTTAATTGTTTTCTTGATTATGCTTTTAATTATTTATTTGATTGGCTTAGTTATGATGATTAGTGAGTAGTTTAATTCTAGGGTTTATGGGGATCCATAATTAATATGAAGGGATAGTTTGTTATTATTGATTTTTTGATATTGCATGATAATTTCCTATTGAATTGTTTTAATTCTTTGCAATTAGATTATGAATCGAGCAGATGTAATTTGATTGTGAATGTTTAGCAATATTGAATTGATGAATCGAGCAGATGTTGATTTAATATTAAAGGTTATTTTTAATAGGAACTTAGGTCGAGTAAATTGCGAGAGCCTGTTAGATCTATGTTGATTAATAAATTGCGAGAGCCTGTTAATCATGTTATCTATGCATTGTTAATTATTAATTACTTCGTTCTATCCCGGAATATTAATTATTGGTGAAACTGTGACCCTAGGTTTCCTTATTATTGATTCTTTTCTCCCTAAACTTATTCTTCGTAGTATAGAGTTCTTACCTAAAAATATTGGTTACTTAGATAATTTAGAGTATAATAATTAATTAGAATTAAAAAGACCTGTTTCCCTGTGGAGTTCGACCCTACTTCCCTATCAACTGTAGTTAGTGATTTAGGTAATTATTTTTTATTAGGGGATACGACTTTACCCTGTCAAATACTAACCATTAGGATCAATTGGTTTTTACACATGAAGGGAAGAAGAATGACTTCAAGAAAGGCAAACAAGGAGAAAGGAAATACAAACCCCTAAATTTTACATTGTGTTTGTTTCAAGATGAGATAGGGATGAACAAGATCTGCTTCCCTTCTCTTTTTTTCACAGGAACCACCAGCACCACCAAGCTCCATCAGACCCTCACTACTGCACAACCCAACCTACACCACCTAATGAGGACTGCTGCTAATATGCTGCTAATATATTTCCTTTTCTGTTGCATGTCATAGCTGCCAGATCATAGCCTGAGAATAATTTCTGTTTTGCTATTTTGTCTTTTTCCTTAACGGTTTCTTTAGCTGTCCTAAGTTTGTTATTAGATTCCCTGTGCTTATGCTATAAGGGGGTAGGCTGTAATCTTGGATTTCGGGTAATCTAATACTAATCTCTCTCTCTCTAAACTTTCTAATATCCTCTGCATTAGAATGAATGCATAATTGATTCAATTTAATCATCACCACCCTACAAAGCTACACCGTTACACAACTACACCGTTACACAACATACTACAACCTTACACCATAATGCAACCCACTACCATCAGCAGCACCAACACAGCACCACGAAACACCACCACACCACCAAATTTCAAAGAGAAAAATGTGAATTGAAGTTAGGAGAGCGTTTTTAAAGAGAAAAATCGAGGAAAAAAAAATCAGTCAAACGGGTCAAAATAAGCGTTAAGTGGGGCCTACAGACGGAAAATCCACCGGATTTTTGAAATGGGTGGTAATCTGAGCATTTATTTAATTTAAGGGGTGGTAATTTAAAATAAAAAATTAAACGGGTGGTTAGTTTGAAATTGGTTACATTTTTGGGTGGTAATTTAAAAATTTTCCTTAACCAAATAAACAAGATAGAAAAGAGGAGACAGCATCTAAGGACAACAATGGAGATTGGAGATTTGGAAACCGGATCAAGGAAAACAAAGAAAGAAAAGGAAGAATAGATGCCAAAGGTAAAATACCAGAGGTAGTGAGCTAGTCTTATTGGTGCTCTATGGTTTTAAGGGTGTCAGAGAAAAGAAAATGAAAATTTTTGGAGGTGGGGCATTTTGGGGGTAAGTTAAAATGAAATAGGGTAAAAGGGAATGACAAATTTGGGCCAACAAACAACAAAGGTAATCAGACCATCTCTTTCCCTTACCCTTTTCAATAAACCCTCCCTCCCCCCCCCCCCCTCCCTACTATACACCTAATTAAAGTATGACTCTTGGATATAAGTCAAGATTCCTGAATATTTATATTTTAATAGTTTGTGTGATGCAAGAAACCCCAGCAATGCATTGGCTGAAAAACTAGCACTACAATATAGCACAATACAACCCGAATGACCAGGGGTAACTAGTGCTACTAACAAAGAAAGATAGCTCTTTTCAAAGGTGGTAATGACAGAAAGCTAACCTCAAGAGATGGTAAATGTGGGAAACCCTTGAGAGATGATATTTTGTTTTTGCTTGCAGCTAACACCTGAAGAGAGTAACAAGCAGCTTCAGTAGCTAAATATAAACATGAACTATAAGCCAAAACTTTATCATTTTGCAAAAGCAGACCTGTAGCCGAGGTTGACTCGCCATAGAGAGAGACTTCAATTTATTTTGAGCGACGGAGAGAAACTGTATAAAGGAAAAGAAAACAAGAAAAGCAATTCAGAAAAAGTAAAGTAAGAAAAACAACACAGCGATCATGAAGTGTAAACAAGTGCAATATAACGTATATTGAATCAAGAGACAACCTCCAAATTAGGAAGCTCTGGGAGGCTTGAAAGTGATGTTATTTGATTCCCAGCAAGATAAAGTTGCTACATGAAACATAGAGACTTTTCAAGAGCATGCCAAATAGATTCGTATAAAAACAAGTACATGATAAAAAGTCTAATTAAGACCTGTAGGACTTGGCAGTTCCCAAGTGGTTCGAATCCGAGCCATTTAAATTCGTTGAAACTCAAATCAAGAACCTGGTCATTATAAACAACATCAAATTAGTTGCACATAATATTGCATTAGAACACAGTGAAGTCGAATAAGCTTTATAAGGTAATTGGTTAACAAAGTTGTGCCAAGAAACCAATACAAAATAATAAACTGACCTTAACTCTTTTAAGTATTTCAATGCCTTCTAACGAAGATAATAAATTGTCCCTGAGATAAACGAACTGCCAAAAAATTACACCAATGGGTAAGATATTAAGGTAATCTCTAGAAGTATATACATTTGCTTTTCATACATAGATAACTGCCCCTTGATTTCCATCTTAAGAGGGGCCAAGGAAACACCTGTCTGTAGATTGTGAAAGGCAACAGACTGATTTGGAGGACCAACAATATAATAACCACAACAAAAAGAGAAAGTAATACTAAAAACAACGGAGCTCAAAGGGACCACTCTTGTAGTCTTATACCCCCGTTCGACAGGCTGCATTTTTGTCCTTTTTCCTCTTAGGTTTTTCATTTTAATCTTAGTCTTTCATTTGTAATCCAAGGGCTATAATTTAAAAACTCTAGCTTTTTTTAATACCCCTATAAATAGGGTGATATTTGTTGTTTGGACATCTTTTTGCTTAATTGAAACCAATTGAGGTTTTCTCTCTCCTCTATCTTTGTGATTGATATAATCTTGGTAATTGCTCCTTAAATCTTTGCTTTACTTGGTGTTGGCTAGGATTAAGAATTACATTAAGCTTTATGGTTGATTGTTACTTCATTTAATGTTGTCAATTATTGTTCACCTTCCTCACTAATTATTGGAAAATCAACAAACCCTAGACTAGTATATCAACTACTAAATACAGTTAGTTAATCAAGATATCTTAGGTTTTAACCATATTAATGCCATGAATGAGATTAATCAGGAATATAAGGTTACCAAAGAAATTAAGTTTTTTTTTTAGTTTACCAAAGAGAAAGTGCAATTTCATAGGGTTGCCAATGAGAATTTCCCTTTTTTTACATAAAAATTTCAAGGGGTAACTACTACAGCAATTGATCTAGCAAAACAAATACCTTGAATAGTGGTTTTACCTGGCAAGGCTAGCAAAACCACTATCTCACATAAAAATAAATGAAGATGTAAAGTAGTTTAATTTTTACATCAAATAAACTACTTGAGGTGTAAATAGTTTATTTAGATGGCGGTTTATTTTTTATTGTGGATTTCCTTGTGGATTCATCTCATGCTCCCACATAAGATCCCATTATTTTTTTATTAACACTTGCAGTGTGGAAAAAAACCGCCTTCATAAGAAGGTTTTATATTTAAGAGATAAAGGCTGAATTGAGCTACTACCTCTGCATCTTATCAGTTGCAACAAAAGGGTATTAATAGTGAGACATATTAGAATTCCTTTGTTGCAAGTCTTGCAACTAATAAGAAAGAAAGGTAGAAGTTAAACATTGTATGTCCATACAAAGTTTTACCAAGCTGGTCAATAGCCGATTCACCACTGCAAACAAGATTACAAATCTTGCAAACCGTACTTAATTTGGAAAAGAGAGAAAGAAATGTGGTTTTTTCAAACTAAAAAAAATGGCAAAACACTTACAATTTTCTTAAACAAAATTGGTATCTTTGCTTAAGGAAGCTTACGAAGCCATTTTAAGCCATTCATTCCGATAAATCATTAAATCTAACTGGTTTCACACGTATCTATCTGTATGTCTAGAGCAAAGTAACAATCTATTCTACCCCATTAGCACCAAATTCAAGAAATTGTAAATTTGTAACTTTGCGTTGAAGCTTAAATCAAATATATAAACAGTGCATGCACATTTTTTATGATAGTATGTCAAATATAGGTATTAAAGAGAAAGTAAGACAATTTTCATTGTATGCCATCTTAGAAGGAATTTATTATAAGAAAAGTACCTCTAAATTTTGAGACAAATTCACACCACTTGCGCTCAGGCTACGGATCCTCAAACCTCTCAGATCTAGCCTCTAAAACCACATCATGAAGCAAACATCAAGCAAAATGCATGTTAATATTGTCTCCAAAGGATAAGAGAAATACTAAAGCGTTGGAAATAAATTAATAAGTGAGAAGGACAAATCCAAGAAAATAACTAAGTAAAATGCACTAACGGGGATCTACTCTATTCTACTTAAACTGAATGAAAAAGTAGAAATAGATAATCTACTAATAACTCGTAACAAGAACACATTATTAAAGAATAGAATGTATAAAAACTCACAAAGAGGAACACAAGAGGATAAGTAGTCCTCTTGGAGAAAAACTTTTAAACATATATTTACAAGTTAAATTCTTTGCTAACTATAATAGAATCACAAATATGCTTAACTTTAACAGACAACAAAAAATGATTATGCATGGAATGACATTAACAATATGAATAATTGGCCTGTATTTCTCATAATTTGTAACCTTTGCTTCCCCCTAAACCACACCAAAAAAAACACTCAAACCCCACCAATTAATCCACTTCTCCATCAATAGCTCTGTGTGACTTTCTTAGTTGCTTTCTATCCTTCTTCATTCTAGCCAGCAGCAACCCTAACTTGAATTCTAGCTTAACCATCTAATATTTCACCACCAATCACACTACCAAATATCAACCACTGTATGCCCAACCATAGACGCAAAACACCAATCAATTGATTACTATCATTAATGGGCTCAACACCGTCATTTTGCACATAAAGATGCTAGATTATAAACTCACAAAGTAGTTCCTACTTCTTCATGACTTGACTCCATTCCCTATATCACCAATGAGCACCAGATGCTGAATCACCAAAATATAGTCACTAGTTCTTTCCTTTTTTTTACATAGTATTGTGATTTTCCTACAGTTTCTTTACAAGTTTAAGAGGGATTACCTTTAATTGTGGATGTTAGGGTGTATTATATTTATCTGAGAAACCGACTATCTCTCACTATAGTTCGATCTCAAAACCTTGTCATGGGAGGCTATACCCTCCATATTGGTTGGATCCTTTACAAATGCACCAATAAAATATCAACAAACCATTTTCCACGCTTCATTAAACCAAACTTTCTCCGTCCATATCTAAGTTAAGAGAGCACTTTAACATCAAAAGGTTAAACCTTGCTCATTCCAAACAAAGCTAATGATTTTACACCAAAAAAAAATGTCCATTTTGTATTCTGCAATAGCTCATCAACAAGCAATATTTTTAGTCTTCTACCAAGTACTATTTTTATCTTTCATAGACACAGTGCATCAATTTGTAAATAATTTACCATGAAAGAATGAGTTCAGGTGATTTCATAAATATGTAATATATAATTCTGCTAAAATCATGAAGCACTATCATACCCAACTACAGGCAACCTAACTTGTAGGATAGATAGAGTCTAACAATTATAGGAATAAGAACCTGACTGTGATCATGTTGCAAGCTTCTACAAACAGACACATGCAGTATGAGGCACAAATAGCAATTAGACTGCAACTAAAGCAATGATAGCAACTTACCACATCATCCCCGGCTTTGGTCTCTACCTGTGGCAGAACTATGAAATGAGAATCCTGGCAATCAGAGGTTGCTGCCTTCTTTCGACCAGATGAGCTTGAACTCTGGTCCCGTGAAGCTGACACGGTACCTTTTCTGAATCCACTACTTACAGATGGAGACCGAGTCAAAGGTGAAGAAAGCTTGGTACTTTTCTTCAATCCACTTGATACTGATGGGGATTGAGCTGACTGTGTAGAGTTCTTTGACAATAACTTTTTGGTAGTGCTGCTTACTGTACTATCAACTGAAGGAGAAGAATGAAACTTACTTGTTGAGGAACCTATAGCAGGTGTAAATGACTTCTTGTTATCAGAATCATTCTTACTTAAACTAGAGCTTGTAGACATCTTCGAAGTTCTAGTCCCAGGTGAAATTGGCCCTGATTTTGTATCTCTGATACCCATTTTGCTAACACTCTTACCAACATCAGAAACCTTGGACGTCCTTGTTTCTGGCAATGATCGCCGTACTGGCTCTGAAACAGAAGGACCGGCAGTTTTTCTTCCCGCCAAACCAGAACCAGATTGCTGCTTTTTTGCAGGAATAGACTGCTTTTCACCCGACCCACCAGTGCTACTTCTTCTTGCCCTTACAGTTACCACATTGGGATTATGTGGACTCCCACTTACACATGATTTAGCCACACCTGTTTTCAAACCTAAACTACTCCTTGCTTCTGCTCTCCTATTACTCGACCCAACAGCTGCTTTCATCACTTCCACAACTTTTTCACCACCATCAGCAGAACCATTGCATAGTTCCTCAATCCCTTCAGACATCAATGGTTGAAATTGCACAATAGGATCCTCCATTTAAGACCAGAACACAACCTCCAAGAATGCGTCAAGCAATTCTTCTAGCAGAAACGAACAAGTTACACACTACCCAAATCAATCATTGCAACACCGACATTATTAATTTAACTATTACGCAGTTTGGTAGGTTTGAGTAATGCACCATTTCAAACCAACCACATTTGTCTTTTAGGTCATAATTAACAATAAAATCCGTCCAGACTCAAGAATAGTAACAGGAAAATCCCACCAATACAATTTAGTATCCAAATAATAATACTACCTCTATTTCATATTATTTTGCAACTTTGGAATTATTATATCTTGCAAATCATACACCAAAGTTGCAAATAAAATGAAATTGAGGTTATATAATGATTATTCCTAACAACTCATCTCCATGCCCACCCGGCCACCCCGCCCGGCATGGCCGGGAAAAAAGGACCATTTTCATAGTTAATCAGAAAAACCGGCAACACATTAGCAATCTCGTTTAACACTTGCAACTCAAAATGCAAACAATAAAATTCAAACAACAAAATCGCTGGTTATAATCTTTCATAACTAAAACGAAAAGTTCAACAGTTCAACCCTAAAAATTGAGTATATGTAATACAAACAATAGTGTGAAACTAAACGCTAGATTGTGAAACCGACATTCAATTGTTACAAAAATGAAACAGAATTATTACCTTAAAATTTTTTCCGTAGAAGAGAGAAAGCTTAGAAAGCCGCTTTAATGGAGAATTCAAAGTACGCTTTAATGGAGGAGAGAGAAAAAAGAGTGAAAGTGAATGAAGCTTTATAGTTTAAAAGTGGAAGAAAGAAAGAAATTATTAAAGACAAGTAATTCTTCCGTTTTTTAAATTTGGGGCCCATTGCAATGCAAGGAGGAGAGAGTGTAAACGCAGTCAGTTGGATAATCCATGCTTTAGATTCTTTAACGAAATTTTTTTTTTTTTTTGAACGGGAATGAAATTATTTAAATTAAAATTAAAGAAAACGATTGGTTCTTAATTTTAAAAGATAACGGGGAGGGAGTGTGGGAGGGTAATATTCCCTCCAATGAAATTTCAAAGTAGATTGTCGTTGCGTTTCAAATGCTGGCTATCTTACGGATGGTTATTCCTACGATTAAGTATTGTACACTACGAACAACAAAGGTCCATATCTATTTTGAAAAAAAAAATTCACTAAGTGGTGGAAAAACGCCATTTGCTATTTTAATACTGCTATTTTAAGTTTGAGCTTGTTATAATAAATTTAATGTCGTTATATGTTTCTTCAATATTGTTTTTGAGGTGTCATTTTACTCTTTTCGGTAATACTTATATATTAAAATGCAAGTGTTTGTATTAGAAAATAATTGTTATATTTGTATACTATTATCGCATAAGTGAAATATGTTATTAAAGAAGAAAATATTGTTATTTTAAATTAGAAATTGTTAAGCTGTGAGATTTGGTATCAGAGTCATACGGTTAAAAGTTAAATTAAGTTGTTAATCTAATTAATAATTAGGTTAAACTGGAGAATATTAGACCTTCTACTGAGTGTAAGAAACCTGATTTTAAGCATTATTATCATATTCCTTAAAATACTAATAATTTGGCCTAGTCCTTAATTATATAGTAGATCACATTGGTGAATTAATATACATGCTCGTTGTATTAATATCGAAAATAAGATATCAATAACCACAATCGATAATAATAATAATAATAAAAAAAAAGTAAGCGATCTAAAAGAACAGGTTAAACAAGTTCAACTTGCTTTAACAAACAAAGTTAGGCATCAATTCGAAAAAGAAGTATTACCTAATAAGAGAAAATTTTCCCGCATAAATATAAGTATCTTTTCAAAATCCCTAATCCCTAACCCAATAAAAGAACCAAACATCAAAATTTCTATAACTCCTTATGAATAGTGCACTTTCGATATTGTCCCTAAATTTTAACCAGCATTTCCTTATGAATAGTGTTCTTCCGGAATTTACCCTCAAAATTTTCTCTCTCCTCTCACCTCTCACATCATGAGCACTTGACTTTGACATGTGGTCCAAATTTCTTTACTTTCCTCTCTCTCTTATTTCATTTTCTTTCTCTACAATTTTCCTCTCACCTCACTTCTCTCTCCTAAATCATGTAAGCCATGATTTTCTTCAGTTCGAAATTTGAGCTTACAACAATCAAAATTAGTATGCTTTTCTTAAGACACGTTTATAACCTATTGCTTCCTTCAATTAACACTTTTTTGTCCTCGATACTTCATCATCGCCTTCTTCATCTTCTGTTGCTGCTTCATTATTTAAGGGTTTTTTTTTTTAAAAAAAAAAAAAAAAAAAAAAAAAAAAAAAAAAAAAAAAAATTGGGTTCGCGTTTAATGAGAATGAGAAGCCTGCTACTGATCAATCTACTCACATCAATCTCAAGGTTAAAGGTCAGGTAATAATATAATTTTTTTTGGCCTTTTTTTTGGGTGAATTTATATTTTTTTGGGTATTTTTGTGGTAATTTTGTATTTTGTGATTGTTTCCTGTCATAAAACTAGGGTTTCTGATTGTTTCAACCATCTTCATCAACTAAACTAATTAAGCAAATTATTCATTAGGGTTTGTAATTTCAATGGGGAAAAGGTGTAATGTTGTTGTAGTTTTATCAAACGACGACGACGATGACGATGAATTCACTAGTAGAAAATGATCTACTTCAAATTCCAAGTTGAATCATCGAAATTTAAAGTCTGTATCGAATTCAAAGTTGAGGAGAACTTCTTTTGCTAAAACGACGACGGCGAAGAAGGCGCGACTTTCTCATTCTCTCTCATTTTCGTTTGAATTGCTCCTAATTTTGATGAGGTGATTTTTTTTAATGATTTGGTTGTGTTTGTTTTTCCATAAATTGAGGGTTGATTTTAAGGTAATTTTAAATACAGTTCAAGTTTCTTTCTGGAGATTTGGCCGAGGATTTTTCTGGGTGTAAGGTATCTACTGGTATGCCAAGTACATCTATTTGTTCCTTAATTCTTTTTAAAAAAATTAATAGAAGTTGTAATTTGGTCTACTGTTTATATTGTGATTTTTCTGGAATAACACAAGTAATATAAGATAACATAATTCTTCAAAAATTTTGAATTGATTTTTTTTTTTGTTCTAGGTTTGATGTTAATTAATTTGATATCTTTGAATTGTTGATTTTGAAGTAAGACAGAGAAAATAATGGAGTCATTCTTCCAATCGCAATTGCATCCTGGTTATGGAAGCTCATGGCATCTCAAACAGGTATCATCTCTCTCCAATTGTGTATTGGCTTGATCAAAACGAATTAATTTGGATGGGTGATTGCTGAATACTTGAATTTACCAAAATATGGTATGAGATATTGATTGTTTAATTTCTGTCTTGGAAAATGTGATTAAAATGTATCAACAAACAAAGAACAAGGAAGTATTCCGATGGAAAATTTCAGAGATTAGTCACCCAACCCAACAAAGAGTCAAATACTAGGCTAATTAGTTCATAACACAATTACCAAATTTAGTTGCATTACCTTGATTCCTATTAATCCTATAACAAGGTAACTTAGATTGCTCCAGGCACTTCTCCAAAGCTCGAATAAGAAAAAGCGTCGGAATAAAGGAAGAGCTGCAACTAAGGATCATGCATTGCTTTCTACTGATTACATCAAGCTTATTTTCGAGGAGCTTACTGCTTTGTAAGAACAAGACTCACATTTCTTTTTACTAGGGCGCGACATGGCTAGCCAATGCGGAGAAGTTATCAAGGCTTGTCTTTGTACTTAAGATTTTAGCTTGTACATAGTTATGATTAGTAAGCATTTTGCACGTAAAATGTCTTATGCAATCTTTAAATACCTTGAAACTGGTAAGGATTAATACAATGAACCTTTAGAAAGAGTAATAATCGTCTATTAAGTTCAAAATCATATATCCTTAACCTTTTCTTATGTATTCTAAAGAGTAAAACATAACATTTATATGTTTTTCTTATAGAGTCTAGATGATTCTCTAGAATAAAATTTTGATACATATTACAAGCTGAAAAACAAAGAGAAACAAACAGAGGAATAATGAAATTTTGCATCAATTTGTTCTTGAGTACCCTATGAGTAGTTAGGACTCTTAGGTGTTAAATTTTAGTTTTGAGTTTGGATTTTGCTCAAGTCTAATGCACCATACATTTATACTTAGTATTGCTGTTAAGTCTAATATGATCATCTAATATAAAATTTTGGTATCTTGAACAACCCAATGTAAAAATCCAAAATAATAAAATATGGAGTAGCTTTTTTTTCCCTCTCTTTGTATATTGGTCTAGGGGCTTTATTTTTTATTTTTTAATACTATGTAATTAAACCCAATGTAAGAAGAGCTGAGTTATCCAATGCAGGCAAGCTTGAGCTCAGCTTAATTCAACTCAACAATATAAAGAAATATAGTAAATCATTAATAAGCTGATACTCATTAGATGCAGAGCATATAGCATTATTAGGATGCATCATATCAGAATCTCACCAGAAAAGTGGTATCTTCTCTTCTAACAAGTAACAATAAACCTTTAAGGTAGGTTAGGATTGATAAGAGAACTACTCACACCTCCTTTCCTTCAAATATAGAATATACATCCAGAGCCTAAGCACAATGGCATTCTACTCCCTTTAAAAAACATGTACCTTGAAAAATTGCATCTTTTAAAGTTGTGGACTCTCATTTTACGCTCTTAATCCCCAAAATTATAATCGAAATTTAGATGTCCTTTGCATCTCATAACAACGAATCTAATAGCAATGTTGAAAGAGACCTTTGTAAAATTCTACAATCCCCAAAATCAAAACCAAAGTACAATCTAAAGATCATAAGTAAAAATCCTAAAAAACCCTTGCTTATAGTGTTTTTGGTTCTGCATTCACTTTAACAACGAATCTAAAGTTGGTATATTTCCCTTTCTTATAGTGTTTCTGGTTCTCCATTCACTTTAATTATCTACTATATATTTTTTCTTTCAAAATCCAATCAAATTTAGGAAAAATAGATAAATACCCAGACCCTAAAATTTAAAAAGGATAATACCTTAAAATCTAAAATCAATCAAAACCCTATAAAACAATTGAAATTAAAATTGAAAAATACCTTTGAAGATTGTCAGTGACTTTGTGGTTGAAACTTGAAACTAACAATTCAACCGATTGAATGGGAAGATGAAAAAGTACGGAATAACAGAGAAAAAATATACAATATTAAAAAAAATCTTGTAATATTAAATGGGGGCAAATGCGTAAATACACATTTTTGGGGTTATAATTGTCACAACACTATTCATAAGAGCAATATTCTAATGTTTATAAAGTAGGGATATTTCTATTGAATTTCTTAGGTTTTTAGCTTGATTATTGAATATTGATGTCAAATAAGAACACAGAATTGATTGATGGATTGATATATGCAATTGTGCATCGTGTTAATTACTACACGGGACCATGTTGCATATCGTGGTTCTAAATGAATTTATAATTGTAGACATCCATTTGTGTCTGCCCAAAACCAAACCTAGTGATGGATACCTTTCATGTCATTTGATTATCGAACAAAGCGAAAGTGTGAAAAGTCTAGTGATGAGGATGTTTTTACTAAAATATCTCTTATTTTTGTTTTTGAAAATATTTCTTTTCTTACTTTATTTATGAAAAATGTGCATTCCAGTTTAGTTTGGTCCATGATAATGGTCCAATAATGGTGTAGTTGGATAGGGCTTGAAAAGACCTTTCCAACAATATATTATAAGCCCATTCCTATTAATAATGATGAAGTTATGGCCAAATTACTAAACTGGGCCTGATTTGGTTTTTATATGCGGCCCAATGATCTAGAGGAGGGCATATTATTAATTATCTTTCCTAAAGATATTAGGATTGATTATAATTTTCTAGAATATTAGAAGGTTCTCTTAAATCCTAATGGAGTTAGGATTGATAATTATGTTTCAAAGAGTTTGAAATTGAATAAAACTACTCCATTTTAGAATCCTTGTTTTGTACGAAGTGGAATATATTCAGATTTTATTTTCGTTCCTTATAATATTTATCCAAATTTTATATGGTTGGATATATCTTGAAATTATCTTTCCAATGATATA